CCACACCGCCCATCGTGCCCCAGTAGACGTTGTCTCCACCTGTGCTGTTGTCCTGACGCCATTGTGATGACGACATGAACCGACTTGCAGGGGAGATAATCAGGGTATTTGCAGTCTTCTGTCGATCAAATAGGGCCAAAGGTCCACTCTCAATCCCATCGTGTAGGTTAAATGACGATGGCCCCCATCTACAAGTTGATTTGATGACGAAGTAGTTGAAATCAATGTAGACTGAGAAGATCAGTTTGTAAAATGCATGCCCAATTGTTTAATGCGTTTCATCTGTAGTATAATGAAGTATATCAAAAGAAGTATATTGGCTGGTATACGTATAATGGCTTAGTATAAGAAGTATAAAAACAGAATATTTGCGAGCATTTAATTGGTACCGTTATTTGGGACTTCAGGTAGCAGTTCCCATTAGAATATACTGGAGAAAAATAGTTGAGAAATACGAGCTTGCAATAAAATGGCGTCAACAATGTTCCTGTTTCATCATGTTCAACGACAACCATATGTTTTTCAAATACTTACTGCCCAGCCTGTAGACCCATACAACCAAGCATTAGGCCACCATAACTAAGGTAACCCAAAGGAAACGTTGGCTCTTGGATTTGAAATCCAGGAAATCCAGAAATGGTGAAGTCACTGCTGTTTGAGGCGGTGTTGTTTGCTCCATTGATGTAACGCTGTTGTCGTCATTGGTGAAAGAAAACGTGAAGCGTGTCACTGTCGTATCTACACGTTCAGCTCGGAACAAGTGTTGTGAAGAAGTTGATTAGACTGGATGTAAGGGACACATTCGTTGGTTTCACATTAATTTTCGACTCGCTTTGCGCATGCGTAGAGAGTGTAAAAATATCCACTGGTCAACTTCCGGTTTGGTCGTATTAGCGATATTGTAAACACATTCTAAATAAATGCTGTATGAATATTATTTACGCTTGACAACTGTTCATAGTTGAGAACATACATCCATTTGCCTATGCTTTTCGATAATTGATGTCCTATTTTGGTGGCATTGCATCAGAGATGTGTTTTTTTACTTGTGAGAAGGGGATGTGCAGGAAGGACGGTGGACGGGTGGTGGTGAGATGTGTTTATACAAGAGCTTGTTAACAAACGTTAAGCTATGTATTTAACTAATTCCGGTCCCTTCCATTCATAAATGAATTGAGATAAGTTAAATTCGACATAACACCATATATTTGTTTTGGTTTTTGCTTTCTTTAGAGTGTGTTTACACTATCGGTAAAGCTTACGACCAAACCGGAAGATGGCCCGTGGATATTTTTACACGCTTTTATTTTTACAGCGAGTCGAAAATTAATGTGAAACCAACGAATTTGTTTGTACCATTTTTTTAAGGTTAACAAACCCCACCTTTTCCTGGTGATTGGTACAGCTCATGAACAACATTATCGGTTTTGCATCTGAACAGGAGAAGGGATATCTCTATTACGTCCGCTTCCTCATGGAAGTCAGAAAGTAGTTATAAATTTCAAGTTAAGTTTACTCACCTGTTTGAACAACATAAATGGTATGGCCGGATTATTGTAGGTGAATATGCTTGGATCTGGTGTGTACTGTACAAAGCTGGCCTCGATCTGACTGGACCCTGCCTGGTACAAGAAGCTGTTGGCCTCCCACTGCCCGATGACGTCCACACCACTGGACTGAGTGTTCTTGACCAGCTTCAGAGATCCATCATTAGAGGAGAACACTTGACCATCAGCTCTGAAGAAGGTGGGAGCGCTCTTCAGCCACACATCTCCCTGAACAACGACGTTGTAGGTGCCGTCATTGTTGACGTTCACAGCAAAGTCCTGCTTTCCCTCGGAGACTGCTGATATGAAAGCTTTATTGAAGCATATGAATGAATGAATGAATATGCCATTTTGGTAGATCCAAAAAGTAAATGACTATATAACAGTGAGAGTCATTCGATCCGTTATATACTAGGTTTGTCTCTTTCTTTTTTCCACGCCGTAGCGCAAAGACCATCGTTATTCGCGTACTATAACAGAGAGTTGGTGGTACTGAGATTGCCTCTGAAGAGCAGATCCCTGCCATTACGACATTACAGCTATTACAACTGGATCTGAATCATCTACACGAACTGTTGTCTGCATCCGAACATGTAAACAAAATATAGAATATCACGAACTGATCGCAATTTTCGATCATTTGCTGCTCTGCGCTTGAGTGTAAAAGTACCCTTACATCCACCCAGCAATACCAATTTAACCATCCCTCAACTGGGTGACTAAATATCATTTGTAAGATCCAACAGATCCAAGATTTCGGTTATAAGTGATTGATGAAGCGCTTCCGTATGTTGTTTCACTTTTCATCGAGCTCAATAGTGCATATTGCATATTTATAGTAGGGGTATAACAGAAATGGGCATTAACATAAGTTTGGACGCGTGTTTAGAAAACTGGAGTGTCTAAAGTTAAAATATATTTGTTTCTCTCGTCTAAATATGTTTACATATGATTTCAGTACAACTTGGATAGACATGGTTTCTTATTTAATAACCAACGAGAACAATTATCTGATCCACTGCCAACATGACATGACATTGAAATAATTTCAACCAAGTTACAAAGATTTGAATTTGCTTAAGGAAATGTATTACAAGAAAAATTGAATTCAGTGAAGCTTAAACTGGTTTTTACAACCGCCTCTAAATATTGGGTAGCCTAGTGGTTAAAGCGTTTGTTCGTCACGCCGAAGGCCCAGGTTCGATTCCCCACATAGATACAATGTGTGAAGCCCATTTCTGGTGTTCCCCGCCGTGATGTTGCTAGAGTATTGCTAAAAGCAGCGTAAAACTAAACTCACTCACTCTAAATATCAAATTATTAAACTAAATATCAACTGATAAAAATAAGGGATTACTGATAAATGTATCAGTATGTTTTTATCAAGACAATTAGATGAGCTTTTCATAATCACGTTGCTTTACTACTACCCAGCCCCGAGTGCCTCTCATGTGTAAGGAGAATGATAAAATAGCTTTGACGGCCATTGTTGATGTGAAAAGCATACTCACTGACACTGAGAGACAGGGACAGCAATAGGTATATACAGGTCTTAGGGCACATCTTCAACCGATATCCACTCGCTATCTTATGATACGACCTATACGGACACTTCTACGCCTCTTGACGAGATACCTACAAGGGCGTGTACTGTCTGAAGAGATAACAGGTTTGGGTAAAGGTTGCGACCAAGATTAATATGTGAGCCGGTGACTGAGTCTGTGTGTCTGAGCATGTGTGTCACTGTTTATGTGTCCGTTACCCTGACCGGTAACCATGATAGATCAGCGTGCTTCTAGTTAACATGCTATGGAGCACAATTATCAGTCAAGGTTAGATGACCTGCTGGATGTTTGTATACACTTCAGCTTACGACGTTCGTAGCAATGTGATCGTTATACAGAACTGTACGCTAATACGTTTGAGTCAGTTATAAACTGTGTATTTACATACAAACATACATATACATTTGTATAGCGCCGATATCCAGCTCAGCTCAGCTGCTCAAAGGCGCTTTGTTTTTCCCTCGCTCACTGGATGTCAATCTCAACAGCACATCGTATTGTCAATCTCAACTCCCTGGGGATCACACAACGGAAATATTTAGATTTTCTACTTTTGTAGCAGAAAATATTCTTTCAGCGAAAGTTCTCGTTGCGTGGAATATTTTTTTTGTTGCTTCGATTATTTTCTAGTCACTTCAACTATTTATTCGTTGCTTCGAGTACTTACTCGTTTCTTCGAATATTTTCTCGTTGTTTCAATATTTTTCGAAATTAACTTGAAATTTCGAGTATTTACTCGTTGTTTCGAGTATTTGTTAATTGTACTCAGTTGCAAATCTGTGGACGTGCTTATCGTGTCGCCAAAATGTACCCAGTTTGGAAATGGACGCGACATGACACACAAATTCAGACACACTTCTCCATGGTTGTGGCAAAGCTCGGCGACCAAACTCTACTCCGATGCCAAACCATACGATATACTGACGTTTTACTACTGAAGCCATCAACTTACATTCCTTAATTTTGGATATATATGATTGAGATACCGGTGCTTTGTCTTGTACTGGCAAACAACGATAACTTGAGCACCGATCTGACAATTAACCCGTATTAGTATGTATGAGTGCCGCCCACTGGAGCTTGCCATTGTCAGCGAAGGGGTCCCAGGTTGTCCGCGATCAAGTGTAGTGCGACTTGCTAACAACGACGTGAGAGTCTTATGAGGAAGGCGTGTGCAGCTAGGCGCGGAATCAATTTCATCGTCATGTAATGCACTTGCACTAGCCTACATCTGCTCTACCTTTCACAAACCAAATAATAATAATAATGTGTCCATTTATATAGCGCCAAACTTCACACTAGGTATGCTCATAGCGCTAACAATCAAGGCACAGCACATTATTACCCCGGATAACCCAAGCTGCCTGTTAGGCGCTAGAAGGTTATAGTCATATGACTTTTTCAACCGGGTACCCATTTTCCTGCTGGGTGAACAGAGACAAGTTTGAACAAACTCACTTGCCTAAGGTGAGACCACATGTGTCACATGTGCTTCGTTGTGGGGCAGGACTCAAGTCCTAGAAACTCTCAGGAGTCAAGCTGCCAAACACGGTCACCCATCCAAGGACTCTCCGAGCTCGACGCTGCTTAACTTCACCGATTTGTGACCTGAGCTTTGAGCACAGGACCACGCGCCGCTCATTTCCGTGCACCGCCTACTTCTCGTATACGCGTTCTCTGCGCTGGTCAAACGTATCCTTGTTTGCCAGTACAAATATTGTTTCTATCAACATTCAAAGAAGGATTGTTAACTTTTTGGAAGACTTGGATGATTCGGAGCCCAAAGTTCCGAGCTTCCATTTTCGGAGCTTTGCAAAGAAATTCAGCAGCGGTACTGCCAGGTTGTTGTATGCTCATTTGCATACACAGAGACATCAGGAAATGAAAATGAAAGTGTATGTATTATTTATTTACAGCTTGGAAGGTTAAAGATCATCAATGGTTCAGGATAGAGAAGGGTATGCAGGCATTCGGCACTATACATATGCATTATGCCCATAACTGAATACAGAAGCATGTAAGCACGTTTACACGAATAAAACGGAATGAAGCATTGGCAGTTCATTTAATTCAAATTTCACTTTCATTTTACTGGCAAAATATCACATTACATGTAATTTATTTCTCTATCTGTGACAATCTAGTTATTTTACTGCCTTTCGGCGACATTTATTTTATATAATTTAATTGCATTTATCATAAAATTGTAATTTGTTAAAGTCACGATTGGCTGAAATATTGCCGATGTGACTATAAACATTAACTCACTCACTCACTGACTCACTCACTCACTCACTCACTCACTTACTCACTCACATTTACATGAATATACTGATATATAAGGCACATGTATCCCGTTTCTTCACAGGACTAAAAGTCGGATTTCCTGATTCATTTCTAATTTACGATTGAAAATATTGGGAGATATATGGGAGTCAATCAATGTTGATAAGATAATGATGAATGCGTTGAGAGTGCATCACCATTTGCACTTCCTTTTGACCGTAGTTGTTTGTACAGAAATCGCTTTTGAACGTTGATTGGTGTATGACGCGAAATCTGCTTGTGTACAATTTTCATTCAAAAAACAGCCAAAAGCGTCAGAACCAAGAATGACACCCCATGCACGCTACTGCGGTGTGCATTCCATGCGTTGAGTTTAGAGGTTGTGATAAAGAGAAATGGGGGTGCGTTCTTACGATGTGCCTTTAAAAAAAATTTTAACGCTCATAATTCCTGTCCGAATTGAAAGTTCAGATTCCCCTACTTTTTGGGGAGAGTATATATCATTACACTCCACGACATGTGCCTGCTGTGAAACTGAGGGTGGCTAGTCCTCCTGCTCCGAGGGTACAGGTCACAGGTGAGGATTTACCGTCCACGTTGAACCAGAAGGAGACAGTTTCGTGGGCAGCTCCAGTGAGTCTGATGGTAATGTCATCGGCAATGTTGATGCCCGTCACTCTCTGGGGTGACATGGGCACCCACTTGTCTAACTCACCCTGGATGAGAACTTGTTTGCTGAAGGAAAAATAATATTTGAGTGTTTAGATAGTGTTCAGGCATTGTTCACACACACACACACACACACACACACACACACACACACACACACACACACACACACACACACACACACACACACACACACACACACACACACACACACACACACATATATATATATATTACATAGATAAATAAAAACAGAATGCCTTTTTCTCCAACATGTTTCGTTCTTTACTCTTCAGGGAGATTGTAGCGGTTACAGTATGACGTCATTACATATATATTGTGACGTCACAATAGGGACAACATTCTAGAGCGACAAGGTCACAGCTTGCAATGGTTTAACATTGGTTTGAACTTGTCTATGAAGTAGTGTGACAAGATTTGAAGTTTAAATATTGTTTCGTATCTGTAGGTTTGTAGAAGATATCTGTGTCCAATTTCCGCCCCGATTTGATGACCATTGTGTCTAAGAAAGCTGTTTTAGTTTCAACTTCAAATCTTGTCATCCGAGCCACACCAAAAGAAGTCTTCCATATAACCTGGCACGAAGAATATGTACAATAGTTTCAAACCAGGACACCCGCAATCAAAGACTGAATGAACTTAGGATGTTTTTACTATTACGGGAATATCCAAAATCTCTTGTTGAAGACGGAATAAATAAAGCTTTACAGCTTAATAGAGAAGATCTTTTGACAGGAACGATGAAACAAACCAATGAGGAAAAAGTAATTGCTTTTGTATCTACTTATAATCCGTTGAACCCTAATGTGTTCCAGAACATAAAAACAAATATGTGCATCTTAGAACAAGATGAAAAACTGAAATCAATGCTGAAATCTAGAAAAATAGTAAATAGCAAAAGACGAAATCAGAATCTTAAAAAGATACTAACAAAAGCCAAATCTATTTTAAAGAAACATAATGTATCAAATCCTACTGCGTCTAGATGCAACAGAGGTAACTGTGGAACGTGTCGACATATTGTTGAAGGACACTCTGTAACTTTCACGAGACACGGAAAATTCTATGTAAAACAGAATTTTGACTGCTCTTGCAAAAACATAATATATGTCATAACATGCACAGGCTGTAATGAACAGTATATTGGTCAATCAGAAAATTTAAGAGCCCGGGTTCGTGTCCACAAACAACAAATAAAGTGTCCTGAAACCCGATGTATCCCACTGAGTGAACATCTAGATGTCTGTGCGAAAGGAAACGATGTTAAATTTACAATATTTCCTTGTTATCAAGTTCAAAATTCGGACAAAGTAAAACGAATTTTAAAAGAACACTACTTCATAGACAAGTACAAACCAATGTTAAACCATTGCAAGCTGTGACCTTGTCACTCTAGAATGTTGTCCCTATTGTGACGTCACAATATATATGTAATGACGTCATACTGTAACCGCTACAATCTCCTTGAAGAGTAAAGAACGAAACATGTTGGAGAAAAAGGCATTCTGTTTTTATTTATCTATGTAATATTTATGACTGAACACCTTTACTATTTTAGACATTTTGTGCGCGTATATATATATATATATATATATATATATATATATATGTGTGTATATGTGTGTGTGTGTGTGTGTGTGTGTGTGTGTGTGTGTCTGAACAATGCCATATATATATGCCTCGATGTTTCACTTGCATTACTTTGAGTAGAAACGTAAAATATAAGTAAATACCCAATATATATTTGATTACACTGTGTATTAGTTTACACCAACATCAACTGAAGTCAATATACATACATTTGTAGAAATCCTTCATACATAAACATATTTTCTTATCAATACCTCTCACGATATCGGCTCCAAAGTATATTCTTTTATCAACATCTTTCACCATATCTTTGAGGTAAAGTTGATGATCGAAATCATTAGTAACATATTGAACAATTAAAAACCTTTGAGATATCTCTGATGCATTGTCTCTATTCCACACCTCTCTTTCCAAATGATGAACACATCTATAACATAACCTGTATAATGTCGGAACACATGTCCTTTGGTATATGTTTTGCTAGAATATATAAATATTTATAATAGCTTGATTCGTTTCCTTAGTTTTCTGGATCATTTGGCACACATCTGCGTGTTTGAAAAGTTAAACGTACCCATTAAAGGCCAGTACTGGTGATACATAGAAGAGACAGAAGTCCGTTATGGTACAGTTACGCATCGTCAGAGGCTGGGCGTCCGTCAAGGGCTGGGTCCTGTTGGGACTATTGGCTGGGAAGACCATGGACTTAGGAAACTGTAAATACCAACGTTCATATTAGTTGAATGCCTGACTATATTCATATATACAAAGATCTAAACACTAACTTCCTGAAATCTAGTAGCAATACTCTACTGGCCTACCCCTTGATATCCAGCCATGCAAGGTGTCATGTTGTAGCTTCCCTTAAGATCAGCAGCGAGGATGATACCGTACTTGTTTTCTCCACCAAAATCTGAATACGTGGACCACACCTCCCCATTGGGACCCTCAAAGTCTGACCAAGCCATCTGGAAAACATTTCATAGGTATTCAAGAGTGTGATGCACAGGTGAATTGTGCGAAAATGTTCACATTCTTTTGCCAGCTTCAATCAGAAAAATAGTAAAAAACTCCACCCAAGGCCTCTTGTATTCAGTTCTCAGATTACTTGTACGCTGTGCAGGGTGCAAATTAATGATCTGTTGTCAGTTTGCTCCCCATCAGGACCCTCAAAGTCTGACCAGGCCATCTAGAAAACACAACGGCTAGAACGTCATAGCAAATGTTAAGGTCTATCAAGGTACTCCATGCTATTTCAGAATATTCAACCTTATCAAATTATTTCTATCACATGTATGTCATAAAATAAGTAGGTCATGTCATTTATGATTGCACCCTCACCCTGCGGGGTAGCACAAGATACTCCGTTAGACATACCTTGTTACAATTTGTTGTAAAGAAATCATTCCAGTGTGAGTTTCCAGTGTAGGTTTATGCACCATAAACATGGTACGTGTGAAGTACATAGTGTAGTCTGTGTCAGGAGTACGCCTTGTCACTTGAGGGGTGTTGAATAGGGTGCAGATGGGTGGTGAAAATAAGTTAATAATGGCATTTGTATTCGCTCTTGTTTCAGACGTCAATTTACCCGAGTCAAGTCTTCTGCTAAGTGTCTCATTCGTTCTTCTGAATGATAAACTGATGACACCATTTGATAAGCAAATAAGAGCTCAATATACTAGAGGTACAATGCAAATCAAATCAGTGTTAGAGTGTAGTGATGTACACATTTACCCGCCGTATTCTGTTGTCAATTGCAGTCGCCGGTCGTGATGGTTTCAAGATCAATCCGTCAGCATTTACAGATCTGTGGAAGAGTTGAAGTGAGGTGAGGTGAAATTGGGTTTTACGTCGTACTTGAGAATATTTCGCTCATATGACGACGTGCATGCGTGTGTATGTGTATGTGCGGCTGCTTGTACTAGCCCAGACTTAAGCTGGTTTTATAGCGCTAGCCCACTGAGATACCATGCCGCAGTGAAGCATGAATACACCACTCAGACACATTATACTGACTCTGAGCCGACTAGTCCTTGTTGTACCCATTAATGCCGAACGCCAGGCAGGGACCAACAAGTACCATAATTTAACGTCTTTTGGTACGACGCGGTCGGGGATAGAACCCACGACCTTCCGCTCTCCGTGCGGACTCTCTAACCACTACACCACGGAGGCGGTCAGAGTTGAAGTGACAGTGATGAAATATAGACGTGAGGGACCAGGTAACAGGGCTGATATCTGATAATTGTTAAAATCATAAACACTAAATATCTGTGTAAAATAAAACCGTCATCCAGGGGTAACGCATGGTAAAACAGGCGTAATAACTGATAAATAAAAAAGTAGTATATAGTAATTAACAGGGGATAAAAATAAGGACAATCAATTAATACAGGATTAATAATAGAGATGCACTAATATTGGCAGTATTTATAAAAAGATATGAAATGGAAAAAAGTAATATTAAAGACAGAATAATAAATGATATGTGTAGGAGTAACAATAACAAATACAGGAATTGAACATATCTAATTTAAAAAAAAATATGTAGATATCACATTTATAATAAGTACTAAATACAGAAGCGGCAACAATGTACACGGGATTCATAATCAATATATCCATATTAAATATATATATGATCAATAAGAGGAGGAGGTGTAGGGGTTTACGTCAGGAATACATGTAAAAATGTTAGATTATGCGTAAAGAAGTATAAATAGTATATAAGTATAGAATCATATATATTAATTTAATCAGGAGTAATATATGTGAAATGAAGAGTCAGCAAGATAATGTAGGGGATTTAACATCAACTTGGAAAAGTTTGGAAGAAATATTAATTCTATTTTTTTTGTAAAACTAGTGGCCTAATTAACAGCCAACCTACTTCATGATGAGTGTCTTGTTCGTGCCTCCAATCATGTCACTTATTCCCACTGGGCCTGTACTTAACGTTGCAACCACGGCGTGAAGGGACGTGTGGGGTTCGGTAGAATCTGCAACACAATATTCAATGACAATTCGTCGTACGAATGTAGTTACAGCATCATGATGTTCTACCCGTATTACATTTTCAACTGAACAAACACTGTTCTGTGAAGAAATGGAAGTCCCAAAGTCAGTGACGGTAAAGTATTAATGTTGATCCAGAAGGTAAAGTATTAATATTGATCAAGTATTAATGTTGATCCAGAAGGTAAAGTATTAATGTTGATCCAGAAGGTAAAGTATTAATGTTGATCCAGAAGGTAAAATATTAATGTTGATCCAGAAGGTAAAGCATTAATGTTGATCCAGAAGGTAAAGCATTAATGTTGATCCAGAAGGTAAATGATTAATGTTGATCCAGAACCAGTTTATCACATACTGTAAGTATTTCCGGGTTGAACGCTGGTTGTCCAAAAATTATCCTTGAAGGGTGCAACGCCAATAGCCCAAGCAAATAGTGACGTCACACCTATCTTCCAGTTGTCGGTACCTGGTCGGTTGTCATGGCTCGCACGGGCCTGAAACATACAGATTTTTGCGGAGAGAACAGTAAAACAGAAATAAGCCAACTGATGGCACCCACACGTGTCCCCCGAGATGATCTGTTCACTGATGCATGTTTTTGAATCAGCATCACTGCTCGGATTTGCAAAAGCACAAGACAGTAATTTGGGCAAGAACTGAAGATTTAGGTGTATTGGTGTTCTGATCTTAAATAACCATTTTAATGAGCCGATTCCTTTCCATTGATTTACTCCAGCTGAAAGTATAGTATGACCAGAAATTATTGAAAATTTTAGGAACATGTTTAATTGTATTTCTAGTATAAACAACCTTGACCAGCTATCAAGTGCTTGGTTTCATTCAAGAGAGACAACTCTGTTAATCCCTTTTCATAAGTTTGTGAAGAGTTAACCCCCTTTGTTTACTTGCTAGCAGACGACATTTTCAGTGATCCTCAGTATGGATGATTTAGAGAAGAGAAAGTTGATTTTAGAGTATTATAACAAGGACATCAGATCAGCTAAAGTGATTTCAAGTAGAACAGGCATCCCTTTGTCCACTGTTTATCGTGTTTTGAAAAATATTGCAAATGGATATGGCATTGAGCACCAGGGAGGCGCAGGTAGGCCCAGAAAATTGACTGTCGGTGACAGGAGGCGGCTTGGTATTCTTGTTTCTAAAAAACAAACGAAGGAGTTTAGAAAACTTAAGGCTGGATATGATTGATAGAGGAACTGTGGCTGTCTGTAAGGAGACAATTAAAACTGAGCTGCATGCAATGGGTTGGCAGAAAAGTTCGAGGAATTCCATCACTGATCATGAAACCTGAACAAAAGGAGCGAAGGTTGAATTGGTGCTTACAGCATAGAAATTTTAACTGGGACAATGTGATTTTCTCAGATGAAAGTTCTGTGTGGCTGTTTCCTAATACAGTGAAATTCTGGACCAAACAAACTGAAAAACCTTTGTATCAGCACCCAAAGTACAGTCCGAAATTTAACGTGTGGGGTGGCATATCTGTGTTAGGGGCAACGCCCCTCTGTGTATCGAAGGGAATATGAACAGTGAGCGGTACACAGATATTCTCGAAGGACATTTACTTCCATCTGCTCACGTGTTCTATGGACATTTTTGGATTTTCCAGCAGGACAACGACCCAAAACATCTGACCTGACCTAAATCAAATAGAAAATGTTGGGGGACTTATGAAGGAAAGTGTCAATAAGACAAATCTGACAAATATTGCTGAAATGAAAGAAGAGGTGGTCTGATATTGGGACAGCATGGACCACGACTTTCTAACTTCTTTGATCAGTAGTAAGCCCCGCCGCAATGAAGCCTTGACAAAATACTAACTGTTCACCTGTCTTTGAATCTGGAGTTATGTTCTGCTAATATTCACATTTAATATGTGAGTAATGAGTGAATAAATATAAAAAAATACGATCTTTTAATTCTCAATAATTTCTGGTTGTACTGTAAAAGATACCAGTGAGATTGCCTAAACTGTTTCATATTCAGATCTATGCATAGAGACTTGATAGTCACAAAACAATCTCCACAAGTCTGGATGACAACAGGGAGGATTTCAACTTTCAACTTTATGTCCAGCAACATTACTGCAGCTCCAGTCTTTGCTGTTTTCATAATTGAGGTACAATCGCATATCTTTTCAGTAACATTTCAGGAGCTGCACGATCATGCATACATCATTCAAGGCCTCGGTATAGTTTTAAAATACCTTCTGATATCGTCAGCTTCGTCCAATCAACTGGATGAGTTTTTGTGTGGATTTTGAAAGGGATGATTTTATTCACACCAAAGTCAATCACTCGCACAATATTTGAGTACCCGGTTGTAACTCGCGACTCCCCCTCACCTGTGTGACGACAGGTATTTCCAGAGACTGTAACATAAATCGTGGGTAGGCCATGCAGTACTGGATGGTCAGTCCGTTCTTGGCAGCTCCATTCCCCATCTGAGTCAGCCATTGGCGGCCAAGGTCAATGTCAGTCAGAAGCTTGTTAATTCCCCGAAATTCATCGCTGAGGTAATCCTAGAAAACGAAACAAAATTCATAATGATAATAATAATAGCTCCATTCCAGGATGAATATCTTGCTCAAAGCGCTAAGAAAGAAAAGATGTGTTCAGGCAAATGCTTCACGGAACAGGTGAGTCTTAAGAGATGTCCGGAAAGAAGAGTAGGCTGGAGAAGTACGTAGTTCTTGAGGGAGAATGCTCCACTCACAGGCTGCTGAATGGGAAACTCCATAACTACACAATTTGACTTTAGGTACAATGAATAGCTGTTTGAGAGGAGAGCTCTGGATGGAACATAGGGCTGGAGGAGGTCACAGAGATAAGATGGAGCAGTACAAGAATGGCACTGATGAGCTAGACAGAGAAGTTTAAAACTGATTCGCTTTTGAACAGGAAGCCAATGAAGTTTTTTGAGGATCGGGGTGATATGGTCTGATGTTAGGGAGAGTGAAATCGGTCCAGCTGCTTTGTTCTGGACTGATTGCAATCTGCTGATGACACTTTTTGGAAAACCGGCGAGGAGGTTGTTACAATAATCCATCCTAGAAATTATTAGCGAAAATTCAAAAAGATAAAGAAAAAGGTATGTGCTGTAAGGTTTGATATCTATTTTAAACATTATGTAATTAGAAATAATACCTGTTCATATGCAAACAGACCCCATTTCCTTCCCTCAGCGAGCAAGTCAGTCCAAAACCTCTGAAACGTAACGGGATACATGCCAATAAAACAATCGTACATGAAACAAATAAACAAAATCACCCAACAAATGATACTTAGATGAAAAAGAAAATGATAATAGTTTAGCTGTCGACAACAAGAGGCATATTCAGAGGCGTCAGTACCTCTTCCAGTGGTAAAGACTTTGGTACATCGATCAGGAATTCATACTTTCCTCCATTAGCAGTTGCGTAGGTTGTGTTGCTCGACCTAGAAAGAAATTGACAAACTATCCAGTATATATTGACACTGAGCTTTTAGTAGACATCTATTTGTATCTTCACCAATAGGAACAGACCCTATCAATGCATCAAAACAAAATGGAACTACACATGTTTACACTGTTCTGATGGGAATGATGTTTGCAAAGTTTATTCCTAATGAACGCGTTATATTTAATTTCAATCACACATATGACGTGGATTGTAAGGACTTTCATCCGAAATTTTATTATTTTTTCAAATACAGTCTAACACACTTGTATCAATATGTGAAGCTTAGGGTTTTCTCAATGTAAAAGCCGAGCGTCTGCCCACCCCTTATCAGTTTCACGGCTATGTCGACTGCAATAGCTGTAATTGCCATTATTCACATATGAGAAACGCTTATGATTCTTAATACAATTCTTAAATAGAATATTATTGCATGAAGAAATTCCTTGATCTGGCTTACCAGAACGTGTTGTAGCCAAAGACGGGCAACTCTGTCTTGTTAAATAACCACCTGTACCACAGTAAAGCAAGACAAAATTATGTTAGTTTCCAAACTCGGAATACAATATATATATTCTTACATATAAATCCTATACGACAACATATGTTGGTGATAAAGGAACGTTCATATAATAAAATGGTCAGTATAGCGATAAACATCAAGTGCAAACAATCTTACTATAACTTGAATTACTAATGCAACACTCTCAAAGATGAGTAAGGGAAAATACTCACTCCATTCCATTTGGGAAGACCGTTGGTTTGGCTGACCAAGTCACAACACCATGGTCATTGCCCGTGATGTACCACCACACGTCGAACTGAATGTACCTAGCAAACAAACAACAAGGTCATTGTCCCAGTAGTACCCACCACAATAAAGATCCTCCCGAAATGAGTCAACAGTGGAACAAGTAAACAATATGACGATTGTCCCAGCTGTGTCCCTTCTCATCTCAAAGAATGTAACAAGCAAGTAAAACATATTTCTATATTGTTTGACACATGAATATATCTGTGATAAATATTTATTCGTATGAAAGTGACGAGGGTTTCAAATGTAATGTGTCGATGTAAAATGTCACCTACTATTAAAACATAATGCATTCGGGGAATAAAACAAACATCGTGCTTGCAAAATGAGTTGATGGACAACCAAATGCTTCTCTCGTACGGATCAAGCGTGGGTGAGACATTAATTTCATTCAACTCTTCTGATAACATACATGAAAAGGCATGAGCAAGTGTACTTACTTGACGGGAACACCTATCTGTACCATGTAGCTGTTGATGTCCAACACCGTGTCCTGGTGATTCTTTCCCTTCTCGGGGAGGTAAGAGTAATACGCCCCTGAACAAATAACATGCTTGATGATCTGTTTGCCAAGAGTTCAGATATAAAATTAAGGACAAGGGTGTATTGGTTTTCCTGGATTGTCAAAAGACAAAGGCAACCTCTGAAGAAAGTCACTCGCTTCAGGACATACCACAAGTGGTTTTCAAGTGTTTGGTAGAAACTGTCACCAATCCAGTTATTACCAACCGCCAGTGTCATTTATCATCTTATGAATTTGTGAAAAATACATTTTTCACTCGACAACTCCTGCAATAATTTGCTGAGGCGCTCGTCATACCTCGAACCAGTCTCAGGTCAGATCTTTGTATATAAAAGATATGTTGCATTATTTGTATGAAGGACACGTTAGTTTCAGACCATGACTGGTAAGTGAAATCAAATCAAGGCATCTCGAAATATGCTCACCGTTGTCTGTCCAGTACCCTAAGTAGTTGATGGTAAAGTCGGACTTGACATATTGATCTGTCCGGCCGTGCCATTGTTTCAAGATTTGCCCCCAACTCACCATGGCCTGCAACCATAATAACAGCCTTTTATACCAAAGTACATGTTATCATTATAATGAAGTGTTAAAGGAGAAATAAAATTGGCCGTGAAGCTTGCAAAGCCAAACAAAGAAATTAAGATAAGCCCAGATATGGCTTCAACAAACAAATACATCAGTGTTCCGGAAACAAATCCAGAAACTACCTTAAAGACTCATGGCATGTTAAAAGGCGATTAGATGGTCGCATATGCTGTTTACAGGTATCTTAAAGAAGAATGATTTGTACCTTATTAATGCCTTGGTTACCACAGAAAAGAATAAAACTGCTTTCAACACCAACAGGGACATCTACGACTCCTCCCATCGTCCCCCAGTAGACATTGTCCCCGCCGGTGCTGGAGTTCTGACGCCATATTGATGACGACATAAACCGACTGGCAGGGGAGATAATCAGTGTGTTTGCAGTCTTTACTTTATCAAATAAAGTCAGGGGTCCACCTTCGATGCCATCGTCGATTTTGAACGATGATGGTCCCCACCTTGAAGAAAGTTTACAATAGTTGAAACCGATTGAAAATGTATCACTAATCTGTGTTTTATAACGCCGTTAATATCATTTTTACAGGAGATGGTCCACATGATATCTGTGATGTAGATGCAGAACCATTTTATCTTCAAGTAAGTGGGATGGAATTGTATGTGGAATCGACTGGGTAAAACCGTTTTGAAAAAAAATACCAAATTGTATGCACAATCATTTGGCTGCTTGTGTCATTAACCATATGTTGTTTTCTGGCAGAGCCGGTGATATCTGCGGGTTCATGTATTGTCAACACGTAACACAGAATCACACATCATCCATCATCTTATGCATACTTACTGCCCAGCCGTGAGATACTTGAAACCAAACATCAATCCTCCATAACTGAGGTATCCCAATGGAATGGTTGATTCTTGAATTAGAAATCCAGGAAAGCCAGAAATGGTGAAGTTGCTGTTGAAGGCGGTGTTGTTTGCTCCATTGATGTAACGCTGTTGCCGTCGTTGAATGAAAACATAGAACTTGTTTTCTGAAAACGTCTCAGTGATTTTATTTATTTGTTTGTTTGTTGTTTAACGCCACACTCAGTAGTATTCCGGCTATTGTCGTGGCGGTCTGCACATAGTCGAGTCTGGACCAGACAATCCAGTGATCAACATCATTAGCATCGATCTACGCAATTGGGATACGATGACATGTGTCAAACAAGTCAGCGAGCCTCACCTCCCGAACCCGTTAGTCGCCTCCTACGAGAAGCATTGATTGCTGAAGACCAATTCTAACCCGGATCTCTCAGTGAGGAACATATGAAGATCATGTGTTCCTCAACGTACATTTCGAGGTACTCAAGGAACCACATAATGAAGTCTCAAATCGAAAGTATCTTTGAAGAACAATCAACTGGTAACATGAAAAGTCTTTATTACTAAATAAAACCATTAATAAAATTGTACTAAATCACTTGAATAGGTGATTTGTTATATTTTCTAATATATATTACGCACATTAAATAAAATCGAAATGTGTGATGCAGTTGTTACATTTGCTTCTCATTTTAGTTTATCACGGCGAGAAAACCTATTCATTTTGATATTTACCACTTTAAAGGAGACGACGAAATCGGGTATGTTGTGACAAAACAATAATCATGATCAAACCACATTACATCTGGTGAAGATATTTTTCATCACATCACCACTTAATGTATTGCGCTGCAGTGGTGTTGAGTATGATACAAATATTTGTTGTGTAACATGTGTGCTAAAGGACGCGCACAATAGCAGGTGCTCGTCAAGAACATTTTCAACCATGGGCTATGTTTACTCACCTGTTTGAACAACATGAACGGTATGGCCGGATTGTTGTAGGTGAATATGCTTGGATCTGGTGTGTACTGTACAAAGCTAGCCTCGATCTGACTGGACCCTGCCTGGTACAAGAAGCTGTTGGCCTCCCACTGCCCGATGACGTCCACACCACTGGACTGAGTGTTCTTGACCAACTTCAGAGATCCATCAGCAGAGGAGAACACTTGACCATCAGCTCTGAAGAAGGTAGGAGCGCTCTTCAGCCACACATCTCCCTGAACAACGATGCTGTAGGTGCCGTCACTGCTGACGTTAACAGCGAAGTCCTGCTTTCCTTTGGAGACTCCTGACATGGAAACATCTAAGTGAAGAAATACATACACCATGGGCCCGATTGGTTTGATCACTTTCTTGATTGTGAAATTCCCACACTAAACATAATGAAGAGCAATCGATTCATTTTATCTGAGGTGCAAAATTCACCATGGCAATCTTTGTTCCAACAAAACATCGTTTGCCAAAGCAAATTTTTTTAAGGTGGGACACTTTTCAGAAAACAATTTGTGATTCACAGTTTTAATTAAAACATATCTTGCTTCACTGAATAGACAATGGTTTATCTTCAAGGGATCTGGGCAGCTACATTACAACGCATTCATATCTCTTACAAAGGCTTTTGGCTAAACCCAAACGTTTTAACTGAGTATATGTTAAATCGTTTTCAAAACGTTATGTCCAGGGCATGTACGACACAAAGGTCAATAATTATGTGGGTGTGGTGCGCCTTCATCACAATGGTAAATTTTTAAGCCCGGCTCTCTGATCATCGGTTGACATGAAGTATTAATGATGCTTCCTCTATCTATCTAGCTGATGATACTAGAGATTTCAATACATTTATAAAAGCTTTCTTCATGTTTCTAATTTACGTCACTGTTAGCTATACACAAGGAGTTTTTATATTTTTATTAAGTTAAAACCTTATGGCTTTTGAAGTCAGTTGTTTATATAACAAACATACTTACCAACACAGAGCAACAGCGACAGAAATAGTAATATACGGGCCTTATTGCACATCTTCAACTGTTGTCGACAGAGGCAGAAATATGCACACGAAGGTCTTGGTGCACTTCGTCAGCTGATGTCGACTCGCAACGAAATCGTATGACTTATACACCACTTGATGTAATTGACACAATCTAGTTCACTATCTGAGATGATAACAGTGTTATGTCAAGGTTGGGAAGATAGATTGGACATGTATGAATTTTTTTACACTAGCGTACATACTTCTTGTATGTAGGTTAACATTTGTCATGAATCAAACAGGTATTCCACTAATCTAATGTCTCCATGCTTTGTTTGAAGTCTGAAGTTAAAAAAGGAGGTTATATGGAATCCATAATGTATTTGACCAAGGTCTTGATTCCGAGTTCAGAAAGTCAAAGTAGAGCACACTCCGCCATCATGTGATTTGACTATAGCAAATTGATGTGTTTAAAGATAAATACCCAAAATATCATCACCATTTTAGCATTTTATTTTTGCATGGCTTTTGAAATTATATCCATCTTTTATCGTATTGAATTATTTTGTATTCCGCCATATGAATATGGAATATTACTGCCTTTGCTGAACCTAATAACTAAACATAATTGTTCATGCAGGCCTTAGTGGCTTGACGCTGTACTGAATGCGCCATTCAAGAGAATTGCTCTAAAGTAGTGTGTTAACTGATATAGCTGACTGACTGACTGAGTTTTGGTTTTACGCCGCTTTAAGCAATATTCCAGCAACATCACGGCGGGGGACACCAGAAATGGGCTTCACACATTGTACCCATGTGGGGATTCGAACCCGGGTCTTCGGCGTGACGAGCCAACGCTTTAACCACTAGGCTACCCCACCGCCCCAACTGATATAGCGCTGGAAATGTGCTAACATATCCCTTTTAAGCATGATGCTAAAACAATCAAGGATGGACTTACACTTGGACCTAATATCAGAAATATAAAGGATTTGCTTTCTTTTCACTTCTCAGATATTACCCAGTTTGAATTGCGTCAAAATATTTTATATTATGTTCGAACTTTTTACACAATAAACTCACATAACAAAATTAACGACAAATCGCCTGGCAAAGTGTTAACGTTTAGCTCAAGTGCTTGAACGTAAATGTGACGATGTATCGAAACAATAAGACCAACATATAATGACGTGGATTGAAACTTGTCATCAGCAGAACGGACGTCCACATTTAATATCCGAAAGTCAAAATTCAGAGCTTGGAGTTATATATAGAGGAGAGAATAATGGGAACAAATAGTGTATTGATTTAGACGTAACCTTTAAGGTATATAAACAACCTATGCACTTCAAAACAGAAAAGGATGAACTGTAACAGTGACGCTGTTTACCAGACACGTTTCTGCTGTAAACCTAATGCTATAAAACCTCTTCTTACTCTCATTGCCTCTAAACTTGCTTTACCCAGAATTGTAGTCTGTGGATTATGACCCGAGTTGCATGCAGAAGAATGCACACAGAGATACCACGGTAGAAAGAAAAGACAAAAAGAAAAGTCCAAATAGCATTTGTTTATTTTCTCTCAAGAAGCAGCAACATCATAATGAATGCAAAATAGTACACACAGGAAGATAAGTTATGAACATGTACAAATATTTATGCGCATACACCATTATAAGTAATAGGAAACAAAGCCAGATTTTAGAACATGGAAACTAAAGGAAATACGTTGGTAAATGAATGCAATGATCCGATTTGCGTTTATTCGTTATGAAGCTACACGTTTCATATATACATCATATTGATTAAACACCACGACATGTGCCTGCTGAGAAACTGAGGGTGGCTAGTCCCCCTGCTCCGAGGGTACAGGTCACAGGTGAGGATTTACCATCCACGTTGAACCAGAAGGAGACAGTTTCGTGGGCAGCTCCAGTGAGGCTGATGGTGATGTCATCGGCAATGTTGATGCCTGTCACTCTCTGGGGTGACATGGGCACCCACTTGTCTAACTCACCCTGGATGAGAACTTGTTTGCTGTATAGTAATGATATAGCTGTTTAAACATTGTGACTTCAAGTCGCATGTTCCATCAAACGTAAACATTGTAAAGTATATTCACTAGTTAATACATTTCGGGGTGTCTTCCACGTGTATTTGGTATGAGTGTGATTGAAATGAAGTAATACACCTACCCATTGATGCTCAGTACAGGTGATACATAGAAGAGACAGAAGTCAGCCATGGTGCAGCCACTCATTGTCAAAGGCTGGGCGTTGGTCAAGGGCTGGATTTTGTTGGGATCTTTGGCTGGGAAAACCATGGAGCTGGGAAACTGGAAATACCAGCGTTTATATTAGTTGCATACCTGACTATTTGTACATGTATATTTGTGGCACTAACCTACGGCAATCAAATAAGAAGAGTAACATCTCAATGTCCTACCCCTTGATATCCAGCCATGCAAGGTGTCATGGTGTAGCTTCCTTGGAGATCAGCAGCGAGGATGATACCGTACTTGTTCTTTCCACCAAAATCTGAATACGTGGACCACACCTCCCCATCAGGACCCTCAAAGTCTGACCAGGCCATCTATAAGACATGCATCATAAGAACCTTTAAGTTCTATCAGGTTATTTCATGGCATAGCTATACTTCATAAAATAAGCATCTCTATGTGATTTAGCTTCGAATAAGCCCCCACAGGGTAAAGCAAAACACTCCGTTAATCATACCTCGTTACTTTTACGTTTTAAAGACAGAACTTCAGTCTCCTGCTGGTATTCAGTGTTACTTTGTACACCATATAACATATATTGTAAACTGTGTAAAGAGTACTAGTCACTGCTGTTTTGAGGGGCGGGACTGGGGAAGTGAAAAGTGATTAGGGGTGTGGCGCCCTGTGTTCAGGTGGGTGGTGAAAGCATAATCCATGAAGTTAATAAAATAATAGCAAAGGTGTTGGAACCGTTACTTCAACCGAATCGAGTGCTGTTAAAGCCTTTTAACGTAGATATTACTCCTGCCAAGTGTCTCATTGGTTTTTCGAGAAGATGAAACTGATGACATATTTTGATAAAAGTAGCAAGAAATAGATATGCTTGAGCTGCATTGCCAAGGTGCAGTACTGGAGTAATTGTGAACAGGTACCCTCCGTATCCTGTTGTCAATTGAAGTTGCAGGTCGAGATGGTTTCAAGATTAAGCCGTCAGCATTTACAGATCTGTGAAAGAGTTGTAGTGACAGTGGTGAAATGTAGATGTGGGTACTTAGATGGACGAAGTAACAGAAATAATAAAACATAAATGCGAAAATAATGTATATTATGTACGAGTATAATTAATAAATACAAGAATAATAAATAACAAATTGGCGAGATATAGATAATAAAGGGAAAAAAAGTAAACAGTCATCCAGGAGTAAAAAATATATAAACAGACATTATAAATAATAAATAAAGGAGTGTCATGAATAATAATACACGTGGGACATCAATATTAAATGCAGAAGTACCATCAATAAATACAGGGTTAGAATATATTAGAAATACAGGAACATTCACTAAAAAAGGAATGTGTAATTGAAACAATAATATTTAAGGAATAATAATAGTAATAAATACAATGCGTAACAAATACAGGAACATATGCAAATAAAAATATATATCACAGGAGTAACATATTAAAGAAACATTGAGACGTATCAAAGAACAAACAAACAAAACTAAAACGATACGAATAATAAGTTATACGTAACGGAGAAATGTATGATGTAATCAGGATTATGAATAAATGATTTATATCAAGAATAAGTGTCGAAGAGAATAATACGTAGAGTGGTAACAAATAATATGGTAGAGAATAGAAAAACACAAAAAACCCCCAAAACCCAAAACAAACAAACACAAAAACAAAAAATACAAAACAAAAAGAAACAAACAACAGGAGTAATGAATGATAAATAAAAGGTTGAAAATGTATGAAATGGACCATTTGTAAAATGTACTCTGTTAATTAACATCCAACCTACTTCATGATGAGTGTCTTGTTCGTGCCCCCAACCATGTCTCCAATTCCTACTGGGCCTGTACTTAAGGTTGCAACCACGGCGTGAAGGGACGGGTACGGTTCCGTAGCATCTGCAGCACATTATTCAATGCTCAATGAGTCTTCATGGATGTAGTGACAGCATCATTGTGTTATTCCTCTGTCATATTTTCATCTGAACAAAAAAGTTCTAAGACGAAACATAAGTTCCAAAATCAATGAAGGTGAAGTGTTCCTGTTGATCCAGACTCAAGTACTACATACTATAACTATTTCCAGGCTGCACGCTGGTTGTCCAAAAATTGTCCTTGAAGGGTGCAACTCCAATAGCCCAAGCAAATAGTGACGTCACACCTATCTTCCAGTTGTCGGTACCTGGTCGATTGTCATGGCTTACACGCGCCTGAAACAAACATTACATTATTTGACATTGTTTTACATGACAATTCCAGATGTGGTTTGTGTCACTGGCGATGGGATCGATGCCTAAAGTGTTGTTCACGATCTATTCCCTACATGGGACAGGATAAATATTTTGAGCGTAAAACAGAAGCTAGAAAACAGCTGGTAACCACATGTGTCCTCCGAGAGGGTAGGTTTCTTTATAGATGATTGTAAATCAGCATTTCCGCACGGATTTGCAAATTCACAAGAACGTAATTTGGGTAAGAAGTTTAACTAAAGCTTTGGGTACATCGATAATCTGATATTTGCAAATAATCATTTTAATGAGCCGTTACCTTCCTCTGTTTGCCTGAACGAGAATTAAATGATCCCAGTGCTATTCATATTCAGATCTATGGATAAAGATTCACAGTGACAAAACAAAAGCCTGGATGACAACAGGAATGATTTCAACTTTCCCTCTATGTCCAGCAATATTACTGCAGCTTTTGGTGTTTCACTCCAGACTTTGGTGTTTTCAAAGCGTTTGATATATTTGAATATTGTTCACATTGGCTTGCAAGCATTCTTGCTCTCACCTGTGTGACGACAGGTATTTCCAGAGACTGAAGCATATGTCGTGGGTAGGACATGCAGTACTGGATGGTCAGACCGTTCTTGGCAGCCCCATTCCCCATCTGAGTCAACCATTGGCGGCCAAGGTCAATGTCAGTCAGGAATTCCTTTATTTGTTCAAATTCCTCACTGAGGAAATCCTACAGGAATGAAACAAACAAACGTATGATCAATAATGAGGTTTGAGACTTCTCTCTGGGAGGTACTACAGAAACAGAAACTTTGAGATTCCTGGAAGTTCACCATTGAGGTAATCCAAGAGGACTGGAACAAAACTATGGAAGTAAATATGTAGTGTGAGGTTTAATATCTATTATATATATTTGGTAACTTAAGATAATACCTGTTCATATGCAAACAGACCCCATATCCTTCCTCCAGCGAGCAAGTCAGTCCAAAACATCTGAAACGTGATGGGATACATGTCTAAAACTCCGTCAATAGAACAATGGTGCATGAAACAAAATCCCATAGCAAATGATACATAGATGAAGAGGAAAACGATTATATTTTAGCAATTTCTATAACTTGAATGCCATATCTAGTAGTGCCAGTACCTCTTCCAGTGGTAAAGCTTTGGGAACATCGATCAGGAAGTCATACTTTCCTCCATTAGCCCTGGCGTAAGTTGTGTTGCTTGACCTAAAACGAGATTAACAAACCATACAATAGTTAATGACATAGAGCTTCAAGTACACATCTGTTAAATCTTTACATTTCAAAACAGAACGGACCATGTACACAACGTTTACACTGTCCTTAAAGAACGCATTATATAATTATAATAAAGAGTTGCGTTTCTCATGACATGGATGTGTGGAGCCTTAGTTCTCTCCTTGCACATTCATTATCATTCCTTTACGCTGAACTTTGATAACTCGTAACATTTACCTGGGTCCCTTTATATTGGACATAACGGTGTTAGACTGTAATTGTCATTACCCTTGCTTCATATATGAGAAACGTTTACGATTCTTGATACAATTCTTAAGTAAAATTTCATTCTTTGCATGAAGAGAAATCGGACACTTGTAATCTGATTCCTTGACCTGACTTACCAGAACGTGTTGTAGCCAAAGACAGGTAACTCTGTCTTGTTGTAGAGCCACCTTTATCACAGTAAAGCAAGACGAAATCGTTTTAGTTTCACCCACCAAACTCGGACATATATAACTTTTATTAAAGGAAACTCTTATTTATGGAACGTTATGGTAATGAGAAGGTCAGTATAGTGATGAACACAAAGTACAGACAATCTTAATATGACTTTAAGGATTATGAAAAAACACACTTTCAAAGTTCAGTTTTGGAAAACACTCACACCATTCCATTGGGGAAGACCGTTGGTTCAGCTGTCCAAGTTACAACACCATGGTCACTGGCCTTGAAGTACCACCACAGGTCGAACTGAATGTACCTGGTAAATAAACAACAAGGTAGTTGTCCCAGTAGTAGCGCCATACGTCATATGTGGAACTATTGTCAAGGTAGTAACATCATACATGGTACTAAATGTATCTTGCAAGTAAAGAGAAAGGTACATATCTCAGTACTACCCACCACCATAGAGATCCCCACGAAATGAGCCAGTACCAGGAGCAAGCCACCCTATAATGACTGTTCCAGCTATGGCCCTATTCGACACAAAGAATGTGACAAGCAAGTAAAACATATACTATCATATAAATCATCTTTCACGTGAAAATTGTACAGTAAAGAGAGTCTGGCAATAAAGAGCGGCATTCGTTTTGAAGGATTTTCAAGGTGAAATCACTATGCCACGTCTTGACGCTTCGACACGGAGCATCACCATTGGAAGAATGCAGGCTGGAGAGTCCCAATTCTCTGTTGCCAGGCGTCTGAATGTTAGTAAGAGAACGATATCACGGCTTGCAGCTCGTTACAACCAAACAGACATAACATATGGCCGTCCCAGTACAGGAAGACATCGAGTCACCACTGCAGCCACGGGTGAGAGCACAGCAGCCAGGATGCCAGGACTTCAGAGGATATTGGGTCAAACTGTACTGAACCGGTTAAGAGAAATTGGACTGAGAGCCAGGATATCCTACGTCGGAACCGTGCTACGTCGTCAACATCGCGCTCAACGTACGGGACCGCCGCCGTGGTGTTGTGGTTAGAGCGTCCGCCCAGAGAGCGGAAGGCCGCGTGTTCGATCCCCGACCGCGTCATACCAAAAGACGTTAAAACATGGTACTTGTTGGTCCCTGCCTGGCGCTCGGCATTAATGGGTACAACAAGGACTGGTCGGCTAGGAGTCAGTATAATGTGTCTGAGTGGGGTATTCATGCTTCACTGCGGCATGGTATCTCAGTGGGCTAGCACTATAAAACCAGCTTAAGTCTGGGCTAGTACACGCATGCATGCATGCACGTCGTCATATGAGCGAAATATTCCCAAGCCCGACGTAAAACCCAATTTCACCTCACCTCACCTCAACGTACGTCTCCGGTGGTGTAGCAACATGACCGCCTGGAGCCTATGGAACTGGCGACGCATTTGGTTTAGTGATGCATCCAGGTTCCTACTGACGTGACGGAAGAAACAGGGTCTCCAGACGGGTCAATGAACGTTATGCCCCTAACTGTGTGCGTGAAGTGGACAGATTTGGTGGAGTAAGTGTCATCATGTGGGCGGAGATATCCGACACCATTCGTACCAATCTGGTCCACGTTCGGGGAAATCTGTGCGTTGCAGAGACACCATCCTGCAGCCATTGACGTGCGACGTGAGTTGTGCCAGCAGGACAACGCCAGCCTGCACACTGCACGTGTCGCAATGGACTGTCTTGCCGCTAAAATGGTTAACGTGCTCCCCTAGCCGTCGCGTTTCCCGGGTGTAAATCCAATAGAGCACCTTTGAAATGAACTTGATTGCCATCTTGCTCAGCGTCAACGTCAACCCCAAACTCTCCAGGAGCTAGCTGCATGTCTGCAGGAGGAGTGGCGGGGGAATCCCAAACTCTCAAGGAGCTAGCTGCATGTCTGCAGGAGGAGTGGCGGGGGAATCCCAAACTCTCCAGGAGCTAGCTGCATGTCTGCAGGAGTAGTGGCGGGGGAATCCCCATGCAGTTGTACAACGTCTGATGACAAAGCGTGTGAGAACTGTTTTTCGTGCGCGTGGTGGGCACAACATGTATTGACAATTTTTTGAAGGTTGACGAAACTTGTGAATGGTGTATCTAAAATTATCCACTTGGTTGTATTGACATTTCATTTTTCTAAACTAATGTAAAAATTCATGTACTACAGTCTCTTTGTGGAGTTATACATGTTATATATGTTTGAAAATACAACATTTTCGCACAGATCTGTGATATGCGTTTCTTTATTTAAATATTATATTTCTACATTGTTTGACACATACACATCTCTGTAAACTATTGTTCGTATGAAATGAAAGAGGTTTCAAATGACCTTTGTCAATGTAAAATAATAACTACACTTAAAACGTAATGCAAATGTTAAATTTGTCTTAAAAAGTCATCGTCATAGTGTTCATAAATAACAAAATGCTTCTCTCGTACCTGACAAGCTTGGGGAAGGCATTGAATTCATCCAACTCTACTGATAGCATAAAATGTGTTGATGGATAAGAAAATGTACTAAGCAGGCCTTGGTGATTCATTAAATTCATTAAACTCTTCTGATAACATGCATGAAAAGCATGAGAAATTACACTTACCTGACGGGTACCCCCATCTGCACCAAGTAGCTCTTGATGTCCAACACTGTGTCCTGGGGGGTCTTTTTATCCATCTTGTGGAGGTGAGCGTAATACGCTCCTGTCGTGGAAATGATTTGGTCATAAACGCAAGGACAAAAATGCATTCCTTTTTCTGTATTGTCAAAACGGCAAATCAAAGGCAACTTCTGAACAAAGCCAATCGCTTCAGGGCACACCAGATGTTAAGTGGTTTTCAAGTAAAAACAACCAGAAATCATGCAAGTTCAAGTTATGCCACATATCGATTTATTATCAACCTCTAGCGTTGTTCACCTGAATTTGTACCGAGTGCGCGTTTTATTCGAGGGGCGCAATGATGCGATGAGGTTGCGCGTTATACCTTGAACCAAGCACAGGTTAGATCGATGTAGTATGCATAGATGAAAGACGTATTGCATTATTTGTATTAAGGACACGTTATACAAAAATGTTGTTCCATAATAGTTTGGTATAACCAAATCAAGGCATCGCCAAATATGCTCACCATTGTCTGTCCAGTACCCTAAGTAGTTGATTGTAAAGTCGGACTTGACATATTGATCTGTACGGCCGAACCAGTGTTTCAAGATTTGCCCCCAACTTACCATGGCCTGCAAGCACAGTAAAAGGTTTCTATGCAAAAATAAATTCTCAGTTGTCATCAAAGTGTTAAAGGAGAAATAATGAGAAGGGTGAGTGAGTATGGGTTGACGCCTCTTTTATCTATTTTCCTGCAATATCACGACGCGGGACACCAGAAATGGGCTTCACACATTGTACCCATGTGGGGGATCGAACCCGGTTCTTCGGTGTGACGAGCAAACGCTTTAACCACTAGGCTACACAACCCACGAGTGGGGAAATATTGATTTTTGTGCGAAGCCAAACATAGAAATCGCATTAAGCCTAGACATATATTCCACAAACAAAATTAATACATCGTGTTCCCAAAAACTCTGAAGACTTATACCATGTTGAAAGGCCATTAGATAGTCTCATATGCTGCTTACAGTTGTTTCAAACAAGAATGATATGTACCTTATTAATGCCTTGGTTACCACAGAAAAGAATAATGCTTGTTTCAACGCCAACAGGGACATCTTCAACTCCTCCCATCGTCCCCCAGTAGACCTTGTTCCCGCCGGTGCTGGAGTTCTGACGCCATATTGATGACGACATAAATCGACTGGCAGGGGAGATAATCAGTGTATTTGCAGTCTTTACTTTATCAAATAAAGCCAAGGGTCCACCTTCAATCCCATCGTCGATTTTGAACGATGATGGTCCCCATCTTAACAAAAAGTATTCCGTAGTTACTACTGATTTACAATTAGTAAAACAACATATTTACAACATATTTGCAAGAGATGGTCCACTTGATATTTGGGAGGTAGATGCCGAAATGTTTTATCTACAGGGATATTGGCGTAATTTAATCTAAAATCGACTGAAATATACCCGTCTTGAAAAGAAAGACTTGCATGTATATACATGTGCAGTTGGTTCCTGGTGACGATCGCGATATTCATTTTCTAGCAGAACAACTGATATTAAAGGGTTCATGTGTCGTCCTTCAACGCGTAATAATCACGTATTAGACATCACCTTATAGGTACTTACTGCCCTGCCATGAGACCCATAAATCCAAACATCAGTCCTCCATAACTGAGGTATCCCAGTGGGATGGTGGACTCTTGAATTAGAAATCCAGGAAAGCCAGAAATGGTGAAGGCAGTGCTGTTGGAGGCGGTGTTGTTTGCTCCATTGATATAACGCTGTTGACGTCATCATGACATAAAACATGAAGAGAGTGTATTCTGACCACGTGTCAGTTAGGAAAATATCAAGATCATGTGTACTTACAACTACATTTCGAGAGTTGATTTCCTAAATTACATAAAGAACTGACACCAATAGTCCTAAATGCTACACTGATGCAAAGTCGTCGTTGTCACTAGTGAAACATAATCCTTAAGATGATATGTATCGCCAAGAACACACATATGTTGGAAAGCACCTGAATAAAGACTTGCGTGTGAATTCGCATGTCATAATGCCATTTAAAATGTATTAACATGAACAAGTCGAAATGCATGCAGAAATACCTTTGAACAGTATCAAGGCGCAAAAAGTCCGAATTAATTTACGATTTCGATGTGTACCAGTGAAGACGACGAACACTGGCAACAAACTGATAACTATTATCAAACAGAATTTCAACATGTTGGGTTGTTCAAAATATACTTTGTCATAATTTGTTTTAATTTGTTGCGCTGCTGTAGTGCTGAGCACCAACACTTCGTTCGTTTCAGAGAATGATAAATTTTGTACTGATTGTAATGAGCTAAGATGTATTTTTGTTCTTTAATATTGGAAGCTGTGTAAAAGGTCTTGCCTTTTCTAAATTATGGAAATTGTACCCATTACATTCCCAGGCTATGTGTAGTCACCTGTTTAAACAACATGAACGGTAAGGCCGGATTGTTGTAAGTAAATATGCTTGGATCTGGTGTGTACTGTACAAAGCTGGCCTCGATCTGACTGGACCCTGCCTGGTACAAGAAGCTGCTGGCCTCCCACTGCCCGATGACGTCCACACCACTGGACTGAGTGTTCTTGACTAGCTTCAGAGATCCATCAGCAGAGGAGAACACTTGACCATCAGCTCTGAAGAAGGTGGGAGCGCTCTTCAGCCACACATCTCCCTGAACAACGACGTTGTAGGTGCCATCATTGTTGACGTTGACAGCAAAGTCCTGTTTTCCCTCGGAGGCTCCTAATATGGAAACTGCACGTTACTAGGTAAGTGAATGCCTGCCTACACCATGACCTCGTGACAAGCAGAAGAGAAGCAAAAAGCAAATGACTCTATTGACTTGTCAGTTTGTTGAACTGCAAACAAAACCCTGAATAGTCTATGTTGTATACATGCCATTCCCCGCGATGATGCTCTCACACTGAACTTAATGAACAATAAGAGAGGTTCATTTTTCACCCAAGCGATCTGATTTCAAACAAAGGAAATTTAGGAAGGAGTGTTGTTTAGAAAGTAAAATAGTTGAAGCTCATAGTTAAAATTGAAACACACCCTGCTGTTTCTAAAAATAACAGAACAGTGGGCAGTTACATTACTTTCACTGCAAGGAATCCATTTAAACTGTGAAGGCTGTTGGCTGAATCCAAACGTATTAATTAAGTATGTGAACAGGATCACTGTCTTATGTTTACTGTTTAAATCATCACTCAACTGGTACTTATATGTTTACCGTTTAAATCATCACTCAATTGGTACTTATATGTTTACTGTTTAAATCGTTTTCAAAACTTTATGTCCAGGACGTGCACAACAAAAAGTTTGAATGTTATTTCAGCACCTTATTAATGTACAAAGAACACTCTTTAACTGATGATAGTTTCCTCCACCTAATCGATGATACTTGAAACTACTTGTTATATTTACGAACGCCTGTATATGCTTCAAATGTTACCCATATTTAGATACCAACAAGAAACATTTTGGCTTTAGATCCATTTTTGATGTAAGAAAATACTTACCAAAACAGAGCAACAGAGACAGAAACAGGTACATGCAGGTCTTAGTGCACATCGTCAGCTGATGTCTACTGGCAATCAAATCATATGACTTACATGTCACTTGATGTAATGCACACACTATCTCAGATGATAACCGTGTTATGTCAAGAAGATTATCATGTGATAATTGTTTACACCTAGGCAAATGCTTCTTTATGTCCGTGTGTTGTCCAGTTTAATATCTGTCATGAAACTAACAGGAACTCCACTGAATTAATGTCATGTTTTGTTTAAAAAGATGTTGCATGGAATTCAAAGGCACTGTGTTCTTCATCTGAATGGTTGAAAAACATGATCGAATGGTATTCGATTACCTGCAATTGCAAGATTATTCGCTGTGTATTTAAGAAATACAGTTCGCTCTACCACCATGTATAGTGTAATAAAGCACACTTTCGCCCTTAACTATTATAGTTAAAGCACGAGGACGCTTGCAAATTCAATACTTTCTAAGCACAATTATGATTAATCTAAGGCAGAAAACAAACGACGATGTCGGTGACCTAAATTAAGAATCCTCGCATTGAATTGATGCGTCGTCAGCAGTGGTGACGTCATTCAAATCACATTGTGACGTAATGTCGGAATGACGTCACAAATGAGTAGGTCCAGATGCTACCAAGGGTACCAGCAGAAACAACCGGCTGATGACACTTCACTGCTGTACCCATACTCGATGTCAATGAGTGCAGACAGAAAACCCTTTTGGTTTACTTTTGTGTTCACAATGTCGGAATTCCCATACTTCAAATACTCAATAACACCCGGAAATTGGCCAATACATGACGTTTATCTCCTAATTCAAACAGCTTGCAGCAAGAGTTTAAACAGGTCGTGCGTTTCAAGGCGACATTCAAGAGTATTGCACTCACATATTGTGGCAATTGATATAGTGCTGGATCCTGGAAATGTGCTACAATATCCCTGCTTAAGCATAATCCTAAAATTATCGAGGATGGAATTTACAAGTTGACCAAATACCATATGGAATCGCGAAAATATAAACGATTTTCTTCTCTTTTCACATTCTCAGAAATTTACCAATTTCAATTCTGACAAAACATTTCATGTTCTGATGAACACAATAAACTCACATGACACAATTAATGAAACACTTATTTCCGTGACCCACATTTTGTGGCTTCAAAACGACGTGACCACAGACACATTTTTTATTGAAAATGTTTCCTCAATGATTACATCTTTGTAAGATTGTGAGTAAGATATTTAAACAAAAAGCATTTACGTCACATATACTGATGATCCTATATTGTTCAGTGATCATGAAATAGCAAACTTCCGTCCCCTGAGTTAACCAATCTTAACTGGAAATAAAGAGATCATTGACACAGCCTCATCTGTTTCATATTTAGAGTGAGTGAGTGAGTTTAGTTTTACCCTGCACTCAGCAATATTTCAGATATATGGCGTCGGTCTGTAAATAATCGAGTCTGGACCAGACAGTCCAGTGATCAACAGCATGAGCATCGATCTGCGCAATTGGGAACCGATGACATGTGTCAACCAGGCCAGCGAGCCTGACCACCCGATCCCGTTAGTCGCCTCTTACGACAAGCAAGGGTTACTGAAGGCTCAATCTAACCTGGACCTTCACGGGTCGTTTCATATTTAGATCACAGCACAGAGATTAATAGCAATCGTAGCCTCTCCACAAGACAAGTATCTAGGTGTCTCATAATTGGGTCAAAGTGTTTCCTAGACTTGTTGACACCAATAACACAATGTTTTAAACGCTCACTCATAAGTTGGTCATTTTGTTGACAAGGCAACCTGAACTTGCAGTTTGATCAGTTGGGGCTTCATAATAACTGTACATGAAGCTCTCGTTAATCCGACACTCATTAATCCGACAATCACGTTAATCCGACAAAAAATTAGGGAACCATTTAAAACAGTGATAATTACTCTCGCTAATCCGACATTCTCGCATTCCGACTCCGACACACGATTATTATCAAAATGCTTCATCAATTTACCGTATTATCTAAAACCTGAAACTTTGCTCCATTCATATCATTTTAACAGCCATTTACCCTGTATTTATATGTCCCTGTACACCAAACAGAATTTGTTCATGTGGATAGTCAAGAATGGGTCCAAACGTTATATAATTCAATAATTTAATAAATGTAATTCAGCTGAGTTCACGAGATTCACTGTTTTCAGTGATCCATTCATATAGTCTTTATAGCCACTTTATTCCTTTACACCAAAAGGAATTAGTTCCTGAAGAGGCTATGTATTATGTTGCATTGGACTTCTGTATGTCATTTCAATCTATGCAAGGCCCGACCAGGCTGTTTAGCACGCAGAAGATCCAGGTATTGAGCGCAAATGTGACGATTATCGAAGCTCTCAGATCAACCAATGGTGATTTGGACTGAAACTGGTTATGAGCAGGACGGACATCAGCTTTAGGATTTAGAAGCAGTACTGTCATGCCGCCTATACAATTACACACAATGGTGAGAACAATAGGAGTATTTGTTGTATTTGTTTACAACTTCGATCATTATGGTATAAACAATATATCGAAGATATGTGTATATACACTTGACATACACACCAACCTCAATGTCCAGTGACCACAATTTGCTGATGTGAGTTGTATTTTCTGCAGGTTTTTTTTTTTTTATCTCTCTCAAAGTTCATATTGAGCATATTAACAACTCACAGTGTTGCCTTGACTGTTGTTATATGTGGTAACAACAATATTAAGTACACATAGAAGTGAGAACAATCACAGCATATGTTGGATGTGTTTACACCTTCAAACTTCAAAAACTTAATTCCAAATAAAAACGGATATTGACATATAAATCAACTTAAATTCTCAGCGTCGCTGTATAGCAGACACTCTGCCAATGCGGGCTAAAGCATAACCTCTCTCACTGTTCATGTTACAATACTGCCTTACTGATAGGACTGATTAACATAGATAATAATCTTCAGAGAATAGGTTGTCATAGCCAGTTGCATTTTCCTGCTGCAAACATGATGCTATAAAACCTCCGGGAAGCCACACTTTCTGTAAGCCCTCCTTGCCTCTACGTTAACACTATCCGTGAGCGCATTATGACCAGAGTTGAATGCAGAAGAAACATGTTCACAGAGACACCAAAGGAAAGACAAAAAAGAAAGAGTTCAAATAACCTTTGTTTACTTTCTTTCAAGAAGCAACAACATCATTATGAAATGGACAATACTTGACAGGAGCAGTTATTAACAGAGGCCTGTACACATATTCATTATAAATCACAGGATAAATAGCCGGACTTTTATTCAAAAGATGAAATGAATGCGATGACCGGATTTGCGCATTTGCGCGTTAGCGATATGACTTGCGTTTATGAAGCTAAACATTTAATGTATGTATTTAAAAATATGCATGCATGTATATGTTTTTTATACACCACGACATGTGCCTGCTGTGAAACTAAGAGTAGCGAGTCCTGCTGCTCCGAGGGTACAGGTCACAGGTGAGGATTTACCATCCACGTTGAACCAGAAGGAGACAGTTTCGTGGGCAGCTCCAGTGAGGCTGATGGTGATGTCATCGGCAATGTTGATGTCCGTAACTCTCTGGGGTGACATGGGCACCCACTTGTCTAACTCACCCTGGATGAGAACTTGTTTGCTGCAGCGGCAAATAATTGTATTGCAGTTTAGACATTGTTCGGACATTCATTCAGACAACGTATGTTCACTTTTAAGTCGCATTTTCAACAAAAAGTAAGTAAAGTCAAATATATTCACCAGTTGATAACCTTCGGGATATCGTTCACGTGTATTTAGCCTGAATGTGGTTGAAATGAAGTAATACACCTACCCGTTGACGGTCAGTACCGGTGATACATAGAAGAGACAGAAGTCAGTCATGGTACAGCCACTCATTGTCAAAGGCTGGGGGTCTGTCAAGGGCTGGATCTTGTTGGGATCCTTGGCTGGGAAAACCATGGAGCTGGGAAACTGGAAATATTAACGCTCATTTTAGGTGAAATATATGACTGACTGACTGACTGAGTTTAGTTTTACGCCGCTTTTAGCAATATTCCAGCAATATCACGGCGGGGGACACCAGAAATGGGCTTAACACATTGTGCCCATGTGGGGAATCGAACCCGGGTCTTCGGCGAAATATATGATTATATTTGCATGTATATTTGTAAAAAAACAACAACACTAACCTCCGGAAACCTAGTATCGGTAGAAAGACCCTACTGCCCTACCCCTTGATATCCAGCCATGCAAGGTGTCATGGTGTAGCTTCCCTGTAGATCTGCAGCGAGGATGATACCGTACTTGTTCTTTCCACCAAAATCTGAATACGTGGACCATACCTCCCCATCAGGACCCTCAAAGTCTGACCAGGCCATCTATAAGACATGCATCATAAACACATTTCAGTTCTTTGAAGGTAAACTCAGAGGCAAAATTTGTTGTGACATGGATTTGTTTTCTTTTTCGTTGGTTTTATTTTATCTGAACCAGAGAAAGAAGGTCTTGTAATGGTAGAAACGATTGAGGTCGAAATAACCGCAATTAAGCATTTGTTCTGATTTCTCTAAATTTGCAAGAAGCATAACATATTCGAGAAATGACCAACAATGTTCAATTTAACAGGCCAGATAACCAAACGCTTATCATTTCCACTCAACGCAGTCTTAAGAGCTGCAGAAGTTAGAAAAAAGACATGACCGTGCAGCTATAGGTCTGCTACAGTCAGCCCGACGGTTGTTTCTGACGCTTGAACGTCTGCGTCGACGTCTCCAGTAGATCCGACAACAGCTACACGTTTTTTTAAAAAATGAAGCGTTATCTTATAGGAGTAAAGCAAGATACGAAAGTACCCTCCGTATTCTGTTGTCAATTGCAGTCGCCGGTCGAGATGGTTTTAAGATCAGGCCGTCAGCATTTACAGATCTGGAGAAGAGGTGAAGTGATAGTGGTGACATGGAGACGTGAGTACTTAGACGAACCAGGTAACAAGAATAACATTTGATCATTCGGGAAAGGTACGAGTAAAATATAACACCTACATGGTTAATAAATATTCATACGAGAGAAATAATTAGTTATGGATAGTAAATGCAGAACATGTAGACATTGAATAACAGGAATAATAATAATCAGTACAGGAGAAATAAAAAATTGTTGCAGGATATAAAAGAATAAATAAAGGGATTAAAACTGAATGCGTGAATTATGAATAATAGTTACAAGTGTAGGAAATATTAAGGAAATATTACAGTAAGTAAACAGGTACGGTCCTGCAAGATTTTAAACTACAGGACAATAGATATCACAATATATGAATGAACAACTTCTTGATTACAATGAGAACTTGCCCCGATTTCTTGAAACAAACTTAAATTTTTACTCAAATTTCAAACTGAGTTTGACAATTTGAAACAGCTGAATTTTTAACTCAACTGCATTTTTAGAATAAAAAAAGATCAAACAACTTAAGTAATCTATCTACCAAATTCAAATTGTCTACTATGTTTGGGTTTGATATCGATTTCAGTTCATTCTGGGAAATTCATTTCCCTGCGTTTTCTCAAATTTGAGTAAAAACTTAAGTTTGTTTCGAGAAATTGGGGCCTGATTGCTATCACTGTAATAAAGAAGTTGTTCATTCATATATTGGCATCCTTATTTATTCGTCCAACTTCTAAATGCCTCTCAAAGAAGTTATAAAATAGTAAATAAAAGAATTAAAAATAAATGCATGAGTAATTAATAACAGCTACATGTGTAGTAAATCATAAATATATATTACAGTAGGTAAACATAACATGCAGGATACTAAACCACAACAGAGAACAGTTAGGAATTAAACATGAACAGCCAACCTACTTCATGATGAGTGTCTTGTTTGTGCCCCCCACCATGTCACTAATCCCCACTGGGCCTGTGCTTAACGTTGCAACCACAGCATTCAGTGATGTGTGGGGTTCCGATAAATCTGCAACACATTCAATACATATCAACCTTTTGCCTCTGCGAATGTAGTCATGACATGATATGAATATTACACACTTCACCTGATTGAGAATATTTTCTTAAGAACGTTGGAATGAAATCAACATAACATTACTTTCTCAAAGGTTTTATTCCAATTGGAAAGTAATGTCGCGTTGATTCAGAACTAATTTTGTACATACTGTAGCCATTTCCGGGTTGAACGCTGGTTGTCCAAAAATTATCCTTGTAGGGAGCAATGCCCAGAGACAAAGCAAATATCGATGACACGCCTATCTTCCAGTTGTCAGTGTTCGGTCGGTTGTCATGGCTTACCCGAGACTAAAACATATATCAAATAACTTGCAAAGTTTCCAGGTCGATGTTGACTGCAATGTTAAAGCAAATACTCGTGTTTCTCTCTCAACATAGGGTATCACTATCATACAAATGTATCAAAATAAGTGTATACCCACACTCACTAATAATAACCATATCATGCAATAGTTGCTCTCACCTGTGTGACGACTGGTATTTCCAGAGACTGTAGCATATGTCGTGGGAATGACATGCAGTACTGGATGGTCAGTCCGTTCTTGGCAGCCCCATTGCCCATCTGAGTCAACCATTGGCGGCCAAGGTCAATGTCAGTCAGAAGCTTATTGACCCCCTTGAAATTCAGTACCGAGATAATCCTACAGAAATAAAAGAAACCCGTCAGATTAAATCTAAAATAAGTATACACTGCAGAATGATGTATCTGAAGTTATGCGTTTGGTGAAAGGAATTATTACCTGTTCGTAAACAAACGGACCCCATTTTCTTGCATCGGCGAGCCAATCGGTCCAGAATCTCTGAAACGTGATGAGAAACACGGTTCGTCAGTTAATAGATTAAACATGAAAGATGTCGAAATCTCGAAGCAAACGATGCTTAGGTGAAGAAGAAGAAGAAGAAGATTGTTTTCATAACAGTAACATCCAAAACAACAGCAGCAGTACCTCTTCCAGTGGCAATGGCCTTTGGACCATCGATGACGAATTCATACTTTCCTCCATTTGCAGTTGCGTAGGTTGTGTTGCTGGACCTGGAATAATGAACAACCAAGATTTTATGACACTGTTTTCTACGCACATTTTATGCATCTGAACAATTAGAAGCACCCTATATAGATGGGTGAAAACTTATTGGATTATCTTACAAGTATTTTTCTGTTCTGTTAAAACTCGTATCAGATATGAGGAACGTGAATACAAATTACATTAGCGTTTGACCGCAAACTCAGTGAGATTGTGACAATGCAGTACATTATTATTACAACGTAATATCTAAACCTAACTGCTACCAATGTAACTGCTTCCGACAGGCATCGAAATTCAGAATACTAAGTTATCAGATTCCTGGACCCGGCTTACCAGTACATGCTGTGGGCCACGACGGGATACTGTGTCTTGTTATAAAGCCACCTTTATCACAGGATGAAGAAAAACAAATAGTAAACGTATCACTTTCACCAAACTAACTCGAAGTATCATTTGGGAAATTATGGTTCCAAAGGTATACATATTGTCATTACAATTTAATATATGCACTCGACTTAACATGTAAAGGTGTACCTATATTCAACAACGTTTGCTTTCACTCACATGAGGGGCGGTGGGGTAGTGTTCGCTCGTCACACCAAAGACCCGGGTACGATTCCCAAACTGGGTACAATGTGTGAAGCCCATTTCTGGTGTCCCCCGCCGTGATTTTGTTGGAATATTGCTAAAAGCGGCGTAAAACCAAACTAACTCACTCACTCATATGAATGACATTTGTAAGTATATTGTGGAACGAATATTGAATTGAATGATAATGGAATGTGATAAGTACTACGGTATTAAACAAATACAATTAATGCGTGTTCGAGCATAAAGGGACAGTTATAATCTCGCACATTATACATATCCCTATTAGCTTGACACTGGCTTGCATATTTTGTCTCAAAAGGATATTTATCTATTCTACGTCTGCACTCCATCTTATAAGCAAGGCAGAGACTTAAATATAAAGAGACCCATAACATACTAATAACATTCATATCATTTAGTAGATTTGAATATTAACTCAGTTGAAGAAGGGGAAAATATCTCACTGCATTCCATTTGGAAAGATTTTTGGCTGCGCCGACCACGTCACAACACCATGATCATTGTCCCAGTAGTACCACCATGCGTCATACTGAATGTACCTGGCAATAAATATCAAGGTCATTGCCCCAGTAGTACCATGATTCGTCGAACCGAATTACCTGACCATAGTGAATGTATTAAGCAAGTACGCCACTAAATAATTAAAAGCACATATCATGACGAAATGAATGATTACTTTGACAGGTAAACAACATGATGCTTGTCCCAGTTTCTATCCCTACAAAGAAATTAACCAGCAGCATCATTTTACATCATTTAGTAAACTGTTTGACACACACAAACACAGACACACACACACACACACAGACACACAGACAGACACACAGACACACACACACACACACACACACACACACACACACACACACACACACACACACACACACACACACACACGCGGGTCTGTCATAAAGTGTTTCAAATGTTTTATTTACATATTTTTATATATTTTTTTAACATCTCTAGGTTTTTGGGATATAATGGAAATGATTATTGGAAAAGTGTCACTGAATGACATAAACTTTCTCTGGTGCCTGAAACACAATCATCAAATTGTTATATAGCATATTTATTGTAAAGCACGAGTACGTGACACACACACACACACACGCACGCACGCACGCACGCACGCACGCACACACACACACGTGTCATTGTCATAAAATTGTCGGTATGAAATAAAGGAACGTTTCAAATGTTTTATTTACATATTTTTAATTTTTTTTTAAAACATCTCTAGGTTTTTGGGACATACTGGAAATAAACTTTCTTGAATAGTGGAAAAAGTGTCACTGAATTCCTCTGGTGCCTGAAACACAATCATCAAATTCTTATATAGCATATTTATTGTAAAGCATGAGTACGTCCACGAACCTGACGGGTACCCCTATCTGCCCCATGTAGCTCTTGATATCCAACATTGTGTCTTGGTCGTTCTTTCCTTTCTCCGTCCGGTAGTAGTAATACGCCCCTGAACAAACAAGTTGTTGTTTTAGATTGGTTTTTTTGCAAAGACTTTCTCTTGTCTGTCAGATAGTTCAGCGTGGTCTAACACCGTGGTTCACAGAACAAAGTGCACAGCAATATGGTATAGTTGTCATTCTTGTGAACGCCTTCAAAATAGTCGTATGCATGTCTGTGAAATAAAGTAACATTTAAGTTATCTTTTTAAAGGATGCCTTGTACATTGGTTTGGTTGAAACAGTGTGTTGTACAATGTGGAAAATAAGATTTGACAATAATGGTTCACTGAAATCAAATCAAGGCATGTCGAAATATACTCACCATTGTCCGTCCAGTACCCTAAGTAGTTTATGGTAAAGTCGGACTTCATATATTGATCTGTACGGCCATGCCACTGTTGTAAGATCTGACCCCAGCTTACAGAGGCCTGCATCGATAATCACAGGTTTCCTTAGAAAATGTACATTATGATTTGTTTATTAATAACAATAATAATAATAATAATAATAATAATAATAATAATAATAATAATGTGTCCATTTATATAGCGCCAAACTCCACACTAGGTATGCTCATAGCGCTAACAATCAAGGCACAGCCATGAACGTGTTGAAGGTTAAGGGGAGTTACGGTCTAAAAGGTTTAAAAGTAACAAATTTAAAATAAAAACATAATTGATGTCTAAAATAGTTAATAAATGCCATACTAATATCTTTGTTTACAGGTATGTTAAGGAGGATGAGAGTTACCTTGTTAATACCTTGGTTACCGCAGAAAAGAATAAAACTGGTTTCAACGCCAACAGGGACATCTTCAACTCCTCCCATCGTCCCCCAGTAGACATTGTCCCCGCCGGTGCTGGACCTCTGACGCCATATTGATGACGACATAAATCGACTGGCAGGGGAGATAATCAGTGTATTTGCAGTCTTCACTCGATCAAATAAAGTCAGGGGTCCACCTTCAATCCCATCGTCGATTTCCAACGATGATGGTCCCCATCTTAAAGAAAAGTATGAAATAGTTGAATCCTATTGAAAAATACTCATAAAAATGATATTTCATAACACGCCGCTAGTAATATATTTATCGGAGATGGTTCACTTGATATTTGGGAGGTGGATCCGGAATCAGATCATTGGGGGTGTATATTGTCAAGAATCGACTAGGGTAAAACCATTTTGAACAAAAAAAAATTGCATCCATGTTCAGTTCGTGAGGTTATCCATAGGCTCTGTCTGATGATATTTGCAGCTTTTTGTGTTCAACACGTTAAACATGCTATCATTTTCACATACAAATACTTACTGCCCAACACTGAGACCAATACTACCACCCTGAGATCCTCCATAACTTAGGTATCCCAGCGGAATGGATGAATCTTGAATTAGAAATCCAGGAAAGCCAGAAATGGTGAAGTCAGTTCTGTTGGAGGCGGTGTTGTTTGCTCCATTGATGTAACGCTGTTGCCGTCATTGATGAAAGAAAACAAGAAGAGCGTGTGTTCTGACAACGTGTCAGTTATGACACTATGAAGATCTTGTGTATTTCCTGGTACATTTGGAGGCTTGGTTTCTTAAAGAACTACGTGAAAGACTCTAGTTCGCAGCTTTTAATGCTACATTGATACAAGTCCGTCACTGTCACTGTTGAAAACTAAACCTTTATGATTATGTATCCCTTCAAGAACACAATGGAACATAAATGTTCTAATACGCTGCAGGGAGAAGTTCAGTGCAGAAAAATAATCTAATAGCTGTGATTGGATGATTTTGTGTAAAATCTATTTGTGTTTTTTTACATGTACAGCCATCCAGTAATTAAATTGATCATATTGTTCAATATTCAGTGCTATCCTTCTCAACACAATGAACAACAATAATTTTCAGGACCATTGCACAACGCAAATGTTGAGCCATTAAAATGTATTTCATTTCTATCTATACAAGGCCCGACCAGGGCCCACTTGCACAGAACAACCTTAGTTACAATCAATCTTAGGCCCCTACAATCAACTTTACAATCGCCATACAATTGCCCTAACCCACTTGCACAAAGCCGATCTTAGAGCGATTGTAAGACGGCATGTATTTAAGATCGCGATCTTAGCTAAGATCGAACTCTTCAACGGTGGAGGTACGAATTTCTTAAACTCGACTCCCGTCTACAGTTGTCTGAAAGTGCGCATAGCATGCAGCGCAAATAAAAAGTGATACTGGTCCCAGCACACATACCTCCCTCAAGCGCACCTTGCAGAATTTTCATGAAAAGTCCCAGAAATCTTAGAAGGAACCGATTACGTGGACGATAGCATATATGTTTCTACATTCTAACTGTCTTGATTTATGAACTGAGAATGTGATATTGCAACCACAGAAATACCTACCCATGTTTTATGAAAATACTGAAATACGAAAAATACATGAATAAATTTGAATCTAGATTGATTGACTTAATTATGGAACTTAAAATAACAAATATAAACAGTATTTCCTTATGATATAACACCTAAATGTATGATTTGCCAATGGTTGTCAATGAGACATTGTTTAATACGCAGCTGTTGGTGGTGGTGGGGTGTGGGGTGGTTGTAAAATCCTAAATATATCCGAGAATAAAATACAATAAAATAATGGCTACAGAAGTGTTGTAAAGAATGCATGGCGGGGAAATACGTGTATTAAATGATATTTCAAGAGAGTAGTTATTAAATTCGTATTCACAGTATATTAATTATTTAACCCTATTGCGTTGATAAATGTTTTCTTCAAGTGAAATTCTTTTGAAACATAAATTTTTAATGCCTCATCATGTGTATATCCCTATTTGATGACTACTTGTATATACATGTATTTAAATTGCATAATCAAATTTAGATTTATGGATGAGAAAGAAACTTGATTTTGCACGTTAACTTGTATCTACTTGTAGATTACTTTAATGATAAACTAAGACAAAATCACTCCATGACCGAAAAGAGATATCAGTATGTCGAGCTCTGCAATGGGCATGACAGACTGTACGGCAACGGCATATGCCAAGGGAAACCACTCCCATCTTGCGTTTAAAGTAAAATTATCTGCTCTTGAGTTAATGAAAAGGTCACGGCCATTGTTAATCGCACGCGGACACCATTCACTATTATCCTTTCCTTGATTATCAAGAAGGTATGTTGTTTCACACTTATTCCAACATTGAATCGGGTGGGAATAGTACTTTGTGATATCGACTCGATAGTTATGTGTTTCACTACAGTAAATAACAATGTATCCGACGTTAAATCGGTTGTGCATTCTCCGTGTTGTTGAAGTGTCGAGGCGAACCACACAGTTTTATGCAATATAAATGCAATCTCCAAACGTATAGCTGATTATTTGCGTGAAACAGACACTAATTTGAATGCCATTTCCAAAATGACTAAAATGATCTTAGCTCCTTACAATTGGTCCGGACCAATTGTAAGTTTCGATTGTAACTTACAATGATCTTAGCCTACAATTGCTTTGTGCAAGTAGAGATGGCGATTGTAACCGAAGCCTAAGATCGCGATCTTAAGGAATTACAATAATTGTAGCGCTAAGATCGTTCTGTGCAAGCGGGCCCAGGCTGTTTAGCACGCAGAAGATCCAGCTATTGAGCGCAAATGTGACGATTATCGAAGCTCTCAGATCAACAAATTGTGATTTGGACTGAAACTGGTTATGAGCAGAACGGACATCAGCTTTAGGATTTAGAAGCAGTACAGCATGCCGCCTATACAATTACAATTACAATACAATACAATACTGTACCATTACACACAATGGTGAGAACAATAGGAGTATTTGTTGTATTTGTTTACAACTTCGATCATTATGGTATAAACAATATATCGCAGATATGTGTATATACACTTGACATACACACCAACCTCAATGTCCAGTGACCACAATTTGCTGATGTGATCTCTCTCAATATTCATATTGAGCATATTAACAACTCACAGTACTACTTTGACTGTTGTTATATGTGGTAACAACAATATTAAGTACACATAGAAGTGAGAACAATCACAGCATATGTTGGATGTGTTTACACCTTCAAACTTCAATAAGTCGATTCAAAATAAAAACGGATATTGACATATAAATCAACTTAAATTCTCAGCTGTATAGCAGACACTCTGCCAATACGGGCTAAAGCATTACCTCCCTCAATGTTCATGTTACAATACTGCCTTACTGATAGGACTGATTAACATAGATAATAATCTTCGGAGAATAGGTTGTCATAGCCAGTTACATGCAGAAGAAACAGGTTCACAGAGACACCAAAGGAAGAAAAAGAAAGAGTTCAAATATCCTTTGTTTACTTTTTTCAAGAAGCAACAACATCATTATGAAATGAAAAATACTTGACAGGAGCAGTTATTAACAGAGGCCTGTACACATATTCATTATAAATCACAGGATAAATAGCCGGATTTTCATTCAAAAGAAAGGAAATACGTTGGTGAAATGAATGACCGGATTTGCGCATTTGCGCGTTAGCGATATGACTAGCGTTTATTTAATATGAAGCTAAATATTTAAAGTATGTATTTAAAAATATGCATGCATGTATATGTTTTTATACAACGCTACATGTGCCTGCTGTGAAACTAAGAGTATCCAGTCCTGCTGCTCCGAGGGTACAGGTCACAGGTGAGGATTTACCATCCACGTTGAACCAGAAGGAGACAGTTTCGTGGGCAGCTCCAGTGAGGCTGATGGTAATGTCATCGGCAATGTTGATGTCCGTCACTCTCTGGGGTGACATGGGCACCCACTTGTCTAACTCACCCTGGATGAGAACTTGTTTGCTGCAGCGGCAAATAATTGTATTGCAGTTTAGACATTGTTTGGACATTCATTCAGACAACGTATGTTCCCTTTTCACAGTTTTAAGTCGCATTTTCATCCCAAAGTAAGTAAAGTCAAATATATTCACCAGTTGATAACCTTCGGGATATCGTTCACGAGTATTTAGCCTGCATGTGGTTGAAATGAAGTAATACACCTACCCGTTGACGGTCAGTACCGGTGATACATAGAAGAGACAGAAGTCAGTCATGGTACAGCCATTCATAGTCAAAGGCTGGGGGTCTGTCAAGAGCTGGATCTTGTTGGGATCCTTGGCTGGGAAGACCATGGAACTGGGAAACTGGAAATATTAACGCTCATTTTAGGTGAAATATATGATTATCTTTGCATGTATATTTGTAAAAAAACGAACACTAACCTCCGGAACTCTAGTATCGGTAGAAAGACCCTACTGCCCTACCCCTTGATATCCAGCCATGGAAGGTGTCATGTTGTAGCTTTCCTGAAGATCAGCAGCGAGGATGATACCGTACTTGTTCTTTCCACCAAAATCTGAATACGTGGACCATACCTCCCCATCAGGACCCTCAAAGTCTGACCAGGCCATCTATAAGACATGCATCATAAGAACGTTTCAGTTCTTTGAAGGTCTACTCAGAGGCAAAATTTGTTGTGACATGGATTATTTTTATTTTTCGTTGGTTTTATTTTATCTGAACCAGAGAAAGAAGGTCTTGTAATGGTAGAAACGATTGAGGTCGAAGTAACCGCAATTGTGCAGTTGTTCTGATTTCTCTAAATTTGCAAGAAGCAAAACATTTTCGAGAAATGAGCAACAATCTTCAATTTAACAGGCCAGATAACCAAACGCTTATCATTTCCACTCAATGCAGTCTTAAGAACTGCAGAAGTTAGAAAAAGACATGACCGTGCAGCTATAGGTTTGCTACAGTCAGCCCGACGGTCGTGTCTGACGCTTGAACATCTGCGTCGACGCCTCAAGTAGATCCGATAACAGCTACAAGGCTTTTTAAAAGGAAACGTTATCTTATAGGAGTAAAGCAAGATACGAAAGTACTCTCCGTATTCTGTTGTCAATTGCAGTCGCCGGTCGAGATGGTTTTAAGATCAGGCCATCAGTATTTACAGATCTGGAGAAGAGGTGAAGTGATAGTGGTGACATGGAGACGTGAGTACTTAGACGAACCAGGTAACAAGAATAACATTTGATCATTCGGGAATGGTACAAGTAAAATATAACACCTACATATAACAGTAAGTAAACAGGTACGGTCCTGCAGGATTTTAAACTACAGGGGACAATAAATATGACAATATATGAATGAACAACTTCTTTATTACAATAAGAACTGATTGGTATCACTGTAATAATGAAGTTGTTCATCCATATATTGGCATCCTTATTTATTCGTCCAACTTCTAAATGCCTCTCAAAGAAGTTATAAAATAGTAAATAAAGGAATTAAAAATAAATGCATGAGTAATTAATAATAACCACAAGTGTAGTAAATCATAAAAATATATTACAGTAAGTAAACATAACCTGCGGGATACTAAACCACAACAGAGAACAGTTAGGTTGTAAACATGAACAGCCAGCCTACTTCATGATGAGTGTCTTATTCGTGCCTCCAATCATGTCACTAATCCCCACTGGGCCTGTGCTTAACGTTGCAGCCACAGCATTAAGTGATGTGTGGGGTTCCGATAAATCTGCAACACATTCAATACATATCAACTTTCTGCTTCTATGAATGTAGTCATGACATGATATGAATATTACACACTTCACCAGATTGAGAATAGTTTCTTAAGAACGTTGGAATGAAATCAACATGACATTACTTTCTCAAGGATTTATTCCAATTGGAAAGTAATGTCATGTTGATTCAGAACTAATTTTGTACATACTGTAGCGATTTCCGGGTTGAACGCTGGTTGTCCAAAATTATCCTTGTAGGGAGCAATGCCCAGAGACAAAGCAAATATCGATGAAACGCCTATCTTCCAGTTGTCAGTGTTCGGTCGGTTGTCATGGCTTACCCGAGACTAAAACATATATCAAATAACTTGCAAAGTTTCCCGGTCGATGGTGAATGTTAAGCAAATACTCGTGTTTCTGTCTCAACATAGGGTACCGTTATCATACAAATGTATCAAAATAAGTGTATTAGTAACCCACACTCACTAATAATAACCATATCATGCAATAGTTGCTCTCACCTGTGTGACGACAGGTATTTCCAGAGACTGCAGCAAATGTCGTGGGAATGACATGCAGTACTGGATGGTCAGTCCGTTCTTGGCAGCCCCATTGCCCATCTGAGTCAACCATTGGCGGCCAAGGTCAATGTCAGTCAGAAGCTTATTGATCCCTTCAAATTCATTACGAAGATAATCCTACAGAAATAAAAGAAACCCGTCAGATTAAATCTAAAATAAGTATACACTGCAGAATGATGTATCTGAAGTTATGCGTTTGGTGAAAGGAATTATTACCTGTTCGTAAACAAACAGACCCCATTTTCTTGCATCGGCGAGCAAATCAGTCCAGAATCTCTGAAACGTGATGAGAAACATATCTGTATGTTTACACATGCCTAAAGGTTCGTCAGTTACTTGATAAAACATGAAAGATGCTGAAATCTCGAAGCAAACGATGCTTAGGTGAAGGTGAAGAAGAAGTTTGTTTTCATAACATTTACATCCAAAACAACAGCAGCAGTACCTCTTCCAGTGGCAGTGCCTTTGGACCATCGATGACGAATTCATACTTTCCTCCATTTGCAGTTGCGTAGGTTGTATTGCTGGACCTTGGATAATGAACAACCAAGATTTTATGACTGTTTTTTGTACACATTTTATGCATCTCAACATTTAGAAGCATTTTATATCAATGGGTGAAAACTAGATAATCTTACAAGTATTTTTCTGTTCTATTAAAATTCGTATCAGATATGAGGAACGTGAATACATTTTGATAAGCGTTTGACCGCAAACTCAGTGACATTGTGACAATAGAGTACATCATTATTACAACGTAATATCTAAACCTAACTGCTACCAATGTAACTGCTTCCGACAGGCATCGAAATTCAGAATACTAAGTTATCAGATTCCCTGACCCAGCTTACCAGTACATGCTGTGGGCCACGACGGGATACTGTGTCTTGTTATAAAGCCACCTTTATCACAGGATGAAGAAAAACAAGTAGTAAATGTATCAGTTTCACCAAACTAACTCGAAGTATCATTTGGGAAAATGTGACTTTGTGGTTCCAAAGGTATACATATTGTCATTACAGTTTATATGTAACAATGTAAAGGTGTACATATTGTCATTACAGTTTATATGTAACAATGTAAAGGTATACATATTGTCATTACAGTTTATATGTAACAATGTAAAGGCGTACATATTGTCATTACAGTTTATATGTAACAATGTAAAGGTGTACATATTGTCATTACAGTTTATATGTAACAATGTAAAGGTGTACATATTGCAATTACAGTTTATATGTAACAATGTAAAGGTGTACATATTGTCATTACAGTTTATATGTAACAATGTAAAGGTGTACATATTGTCATTACAGTTTATATGTAACAATGTAAAGGTGTACATATTGTCATTACAGTTTATATGTAACAATGTAAAGGTATACATATTGTCATTACAGTTTATATGTAACAATGTAAAGGTGTACATATTGTCATTACAGCTTATATGTAACAATGTAAAGGTGTACATATTGTCATTACAGTTTATATGTAACAATGTAAAGGTGTACATATTGTCATTACAGTTTATATGTTGTAACAATGTAAAGGTGTACATATTGGCGTTACAGTTTATATGTAACAATGTAAAGGTGTACATATTGTCATTACAGTTTATATGTAACAATGTAAAGGTGCACATATTGTCATTACAGTTTATATGTAACAATGTAAAGGTATACATATTGTCATTACAGTTTATATGTAACAATGTAAAGGTATACATATTGTCATTACAGTTTATATGTAACAATGTAAAGGCGTACATATTGTCATTACAGTTTATAAGTAACAATGTAAAGGTGTACATATTGTCATTACAGTTTATATGTAACAATGTAAAGGTGTACATATTGTCATTACAGTTTATATGTAACAATGTAAAGGTGTACATTTTGTCATTACAGTTTATATGTAACAATGTAAAGGTGTGCATATTGTCATTACAGTTTATATGTAACAATGTAAAGGTGTACATATTGTCATTACAGTTGATATGTAACAATGTAAAGGTGTACATATTGTCATTACAGTTTATATGTAACAATGTAAAGGTGTACATATTGTCATTACAGCTTATATGTAACAATGTAAAGGTGTACATATTGTCATTACAGTTTATATGTAACAATGTAAAGGTGTACATATTGTCATTACAGTTTATATGTAACAATGTAAAGGTGTACATATTGTCATTACAGTTTATATGTAACAATGTAAAGGTGTACATATTGTCATTACAGTTTATATGTAACAATGTAAAGGTGTACATATTGTCATTACAGCTTATATGTAACAATGTAAAGGTGTACATATTGTCATTACAGTTTATATGTTGTAACAATGTAAAGGTGTACATATTGGCGTTACAGTTTATATGTAACAATGTAAAGGTGTACATATTGTCATTACAGTTTATATGTAACAATGTAAAGGTGTGTACATATTGTCATTACAGTTTATATGTAACAATGTAAAGGTGTACATATTGTCATTACAGTTTATATGTAACAATGTAAAGGTGTACATATTGTCATTACTGTTGATATGTAACAATGTAAAGGTGTACATATTGTCATTACAGTTTATATGTTACATGTAAAGGTGTACATATTTTCAACAATGTTTGCTTTCACTCACATGAGGGGCGGTGGGGTAGTGTTCGCCCGTCACACCAAAGACCCGTGCTCGATTCCCAACATGGGTACAATGTGTGAAGCCCATTTCTGGTGTCCCCGCCGTGATATTGCTGGAATATTGCTAAAAGCGGCGTAAAACCAAACTAACTCACTCACTTATATGAATTACATTTGCAAGTGTATTCTGGAACGAATATTGAAATCAATGATAATGGAATGTGATAATTATTACGGTATTAAACAAATACAATTAATGCGTGTTCGAGCATAAAGGGACAGTATACATATCCCCATTAGCTTGACACTGGCTCGCACATCTTGTCTCAAAAGATAGTATCCATTCTACGTCTGCACTCCATCTTATAAGCAAGGCAGAGACTTAAATATAAAGAGACACATAAAATACTAATAGCATTCATATAATTTAGTTGATTTTAATATTAACTCAGTTGAAGAAGGGGAAAATATCTCACTGCATTCCATTTGAAAGATTTTGGGCTGCGCCGACCACGTCACAACACCATGATCATTGTCCCAGTAGTACCACCATTCGTCATACTGAATGTACCTGACAATAAATATCAAGGTCATTGCCCCAGTAGTACCATGATTCGATTCAAATGATTTATTAAATATTTTAAACAAAATTTAACATCTCTAGGTTTTTGGGACATACTGGAAATAAACTTTCTTGAGTAGTGGAAAAAGTGTCACTGAATGACATACAATTTCTCTAGTGCTTGAAACACAATCATCAAATTCTTATATACCATATTTATTGCAAAGGACGAGTACGGCTACGAACCTGACGGGTACCCCTATCTGCCCCATGTAGCTCTTGATATCCAACATTGTGTCTTGGTAGTTCTTTCCTTTCTCTGTCCGGCAGTAGTAATACGCACCTGAACAAACAAATTGTTCAATATAGAACAAGTTTTTATGGATAACAACTTCTTTATTGCGGAGTGCGACGTTTCGATACGGATTCTTGTACCGTTGTCACTTTTGCTTGACAACGGTACAAGAATCTGTATCGAAATGTCGCACTCACGAAATAAAGAAGTTGTTATCCATAAAAACTTGTTCTATATTGTACGTCTCAACTTCTAAAATGCCACTCAAACAAGAAACAAATTGTTGTTTTAGATCGTTTTCTTTGCAAAGGCTTTCTCTTGTCTGTCAGATATTCAGCGTGGTTTAACACCGTGGTTCACAGAACAAAGTGCACAGCAATATGGTTTTGTTGTCATTCTTGTAAACGCCTTCAAATTAGTCGTATGCATGTCTGTGAAATAAAGTAACATTTGAATTATCTTTGAAAGGATGCCTGGTACATTGGTTTGGTTGAAACAGTGTGTTGTACAATGTGGAAAATACGATTTGACCGTAATGGTTTACTGAAATCAAATCAAGGCATCTCGAAATATGCTTTCACCATTGTCCGTCCAATACCCTAAGTAGTTTATGGTATAGTCGGACTTCATATATTGATCTGTACGGCCATGCCACTGCTGTAAGATCTGACCCCAGCTTACAGAGGCCTGCAACGATAATCACAGGTTTCCTTAGAAAATGTACATTATTATTTGTTTATTGCCATAAACGTGTTGAAGGTTAAGGAGAGTTACGGTCTCAAAGGTTTAAAAGTAAAAAAATAAAAATAAAAACATAATTCATGTCTAAAATAGTTAATAAATGCCATACAAATAACTTTGTTTACAGGTATGTTAAGGAGGATGAGAGTTACCTTGTTAATGCCTTGGTTACCACAGAAAAGAATAAAACTAGTTTCAACGCCAACAGGGACATCTTCAACTCCTCCCATCGTCCCCCAATAGACATTGTCCCCTCCGGTGCTGGAGTTCTGACGCCATACGGATGACGACATAAACCGACTGGCAGGGGTGATAATCAGTGTATTTGCAGTCTTAACGCGATCAAATAACGTCAGAGGTCCACCTTCAATCCCATCGTCGATTTTGAACGATGATTGTCCCCATCTTAAAGAAAAGTATGAAATAGTTGAATCCTATTGAAAAATACTAATAAAAATGATATTTCATAACACGCCACTAGTAATATATTTATCGGAGATGGTTCACTTGATATTTGGGAGGAGGATCCGGAATCAGATCATTGGGGGTGTATATTGTCAAGAATCGACTGGAGTAAAACCATTTTGAACAAAAATAACTTGCATCCATGTTCAGTTCGTGACGTTATCCATAGGCTCTGTCTGATGATATTTGCAGCTTGTTGTGTTCAACACGTAAAACATGCTATCATTTTCACATACAAATACTTACTGCCCAACACCGAGACCAATGCTACCACTCTGCAATCCTCCATAACTAAGGTATCCCAGCGGAATGGATGAATTTTGAATTAGAAATCCAGGAAAGCCAGAAATGGTGAAGTCAGTCTTGTTGAGGCGGTGTTGTTTGCTCCATTGATGTAACGCTGTTGCCGTCATTGATGAAAGAAAACAAGAAGAGCGTGTGGTTTGACAACGTGTCAGTTATGACACTATGAAGATCTTGTGTATTTCTTGGTACATTTGGAGACTTGGTTTCTTAAAGAACTACGTGAAAGTTCGCAGAACATTCAACTAACTACAATAATAGCTTTTAATGCTACATTGATACAAGTCCGTCACTGTCACTGTTGAAAACTAAACCTTTATGATTATGTATCCCTTCAAGAACACAATGGAACATAAATGTTCTAATACGCTGTAGGGAGAAGTTCAGTGCAGAAAGAATAATCTAATAGCTGTGATTGGATGATTTTGTGTAAAATCTATTTGTGTTTTTTACATGTACAGCCATCCAGTAATTAAATTGATCATATTGTTCAATATTCAGTGCTATCCTTCTCAACACAATGAACAACAATAATTTTCAGGACCATTGCACAACGCAAATGTTGAGCCATTAAAATGGTTACGTGCTATCCACAGCAGAAAGTGCTCTTTTGTCAAATCAGAATATTGGGAGTTAGCATGACGGACTGGGTTTGTTTGTTTTGTTATAATTATAACGGTACATATCTATGTCATGCTTTGTCTTAGTGTGAATAGAGATTGTGGAGTCCATTACTATCCTATGTTTACTCACCTGTTTGAACAATATGAACGGTAAAGCGGGATTGTTGTAGGTGAATATGCTTGGGTCTGGTGTGTACTGTACAAAGCTGGCCTCGATCTGACTGGACCCTGCCTGGTACAAGAAGCTGTTGGCCTCCCACTGCCCGATGACGTCCACACCACTGGACTGAGTGTTCTTGACCAGCTTCAGAGATAGATCAGCAGAGGAGAACACTTGACCATCAGCTCTGAAGAAGGTAGGAGCGCTCTTCAGCCACACATCTCCCTGTACAACGACGTTGTAGGTGCCGTCATTGTTGACGTTCACAGCAAAGTCCTGCTTTCCCTCGGAGACTGCTGATTGCAAGTGGCTCTATTCATTGTTATGTAGTGACGTTATTAATTGTGTAACAATATTCACTATCTGAGATGATAACCATTAGTGTTGGGAATTGGTTAAAATCTCATAATTGATGAGATCAATCATCGAAAACATTATCGATTGCTTGGTCGATTAGTCACTGCGACCAATCTTCGATTATTTCAATTAATCGGATCACCACTAATAACAATGCGATTCAAATCAACCGTAAATGCTTCTAGGTGAATCGAAACATATTAAGTTAGTACATAACACATCTATACTATCGGATCTCAGCATAATGTCTGTATCAGCGTTAAGCAAGGGCAGTTTCATTACCAATCAACTGCTGCTTAATTTCGTGTTAGAAAACACGCTTGGATGTAAGCGTCCCGTGAAGTGCTTTCAATGCCTTCTTTCAATTATTGGTGTATCGCATGTTTAATGCATTTTTAAAACCTCATGTCCAGAAAATGAACCACACGAAAGTCACTACCTATGTGAATATGGTCATATGCATAGCGTTCCAGCACGTTCCCAGTTTATTATTACCTGAAGACGGTGATAATTTGACATGAACTATTATTTAAATAGCTATCTTTATAAGCTACGTATTTTATATTAACTGATAAGAAATGCTTTTGAAACTCATTTCCTAATAATTGGCTTCGAACAAGTAGTGATTTGCTCTTTCTAACCTAAAAAACCTTTGGCGATGAAAATTCATTGTTGGTGTAAAAAATCCATACATGCACTTACCAGCACAGTGAAACAGAGACAGAAGTAGTAATAAACAGGTTTTAATGCACATCTTCAACTGTTGTCGATTCACAACCAAATCATTTGACTTATGCACCACTTGATGAAACTAGATATACACAAGGTCATTTACTATCTGAGCTGATAACAATGTCATCTGATATGATAACAGAGTTATGTCAAGGTCGAGTGCATAGTTTTGGGATGAGACGAATTTATACATTGCAACTGTGTCGTCCAGAGTAATGCATGTAATTTATTTAATCTATTTTGCACTGCCAAGGAAATACTTTTGTTGTGATTAATCCAAATTTGGGTGTCAGCATGTACCATCATGTGGTGACATTGTTCCAATCGTACTGCTCGATGATGAGGTTCGCTGTTAAGTGTTGGTTCCAAATCAACAAACAACGAAATTATACACCTGTGAATTAATTAAGCACCACCCTATTTTGAAAATAAGATGTGATGCTACAGAAAAGGAAGGGTATAGCCATCAATGTAATCAACCTGTAATTAAAGACGCTTTATCCACTGACAGTTTTACAAATACCACAACCCTTTCTATTCTTTATGAAAGAATATGTTGATGAAAAATGGGATGGGATGGGATTATTTTGGCCGAAAACAACTATTCCTCTCCTGCTCAAACTACACAATTAAATTAAGTTTTGACTAAAAAATAACAATTCTGTTATATACCAAGATGACATTTACACACCAAGTAAGCCTTAATTATGCATAATCAGGAAGAACCCGAATGTCAAAGATTCACACCTTTTTCGAATAATTCAGATTGCTAATTGACAAAAACTGAAAAAGGTCACATTCATGAGATTTTGGAATACATTTCTTTATGAGTTTGGGTTTATTGTAATGAATAAACACTTCTCCCCTGCCGGATACTGATAATTACGGTTAAAATCTGTTTGTTTCGTTTGTAAAGCAAAATTTATGTTCCTTTTTAAGTTTGACTGTAACTTTTCCTTATTCATTCTTAGTTTACAAACTTTCACCCATTCACAATAAATAACGAGTTTATAGGCCGCACAACAATCAGTTATTACTTTCACTTTTCAAAATAAGGTAACTTGTTTTAGGACATAAAAACACCTGTTTTAAATATAGGCAATTATCCTAATTAAAAGTACATGGTAATTTCAATAATCTCGTTTTGAAATGTTAAATGCTTGCTCTATCAATTTATAAAGGTTATGTTTTAGAATTTCATTTCAGACCAAATTAATTGGTTAAAATACAGGGTGGTGCTTATTTTATGCACAGGTGTATACATTAATTAAACCATGGGCCTTATATTGATTTGATGCCACAGTAACAACATGCCTGGACATACATAAGAGGAAATGGTAGGTCTTAACGCGATATTAACATTTTAGCAATACGATTCCCATCAATTGTAAGTATGTAAACACAACTACAAACAAGTAGTGATTTATTCTTTCTAACGTGAAATTCATATGGCAATGTAAATCCATTGTTGATGGGGAAATACATGTACTTACCAGCACAGAGCAACAGAGACAGAAACATACAGGTCTTAGTGCACATCTCTCTAATTGTTGTCGACTCACAGCCAAATCACTTATACACCAGTTGATGTAGATATATATACACAAGGTCATTTACTATTTGAGATGATAACAGTTTTATGTCAACATACACATTGTCACTGTGTCGTCCAGAGTAATGCGTGTGATGAATACGAATACAGTCTTATGTCAAGGTCGGGGGCATAGTTTTGGGGTGAAACAATTTTAATTTATGCATGTGTAACTGTGTCGTCCAGATGGATACCTGTAATGCGAATAGATACGAATTCCGTTCAATACAACTGTGTTGCATTTGAAGTTAAAAACAATGTTATATGAGATCCAGAATTTATTTGACAACTGTATGGATTCCGAGTTGAAAGAAGTTCCTAATATCTTGTAGCAAGAGTGTAAATAGATCGACTGGCAAAGTCTTGGCAAGACTCGACCATACACAGGCAGCCATCAAGTTTCTACGTGACTGTTGCCAACTGTTGCCGACTGCTGCCGACTGTTTCCGACTGCCATGTGAATTGAAAAAATCCCCCCAAATATGAATGTTGTTTTAGCATTTCAATTTTGCGTTAGGTTTGACATTATATGCATACGTTATTGTATCTATTAGATCATATACTTTTCGATTATTTTCAGATCAGATCATATGATTGCAACATGTTGATGTCACCTAAGGACTTAAGGAAATAATTTGTTGAGTGGTTGGGTGTTTGTAAGGTGAAACAGGACCTTAATGTGGCATTCAAGGATGCAACATTCATATAAAGGACGATAACCATAATACTGACCACAGACAAGGATGGACTTTGTTTACATTCACATAGATATTTGAGACACGTGAACCAAATACATCTGGATTCTGCAACGCCTAAAGGGCTGAACTTTCCAATCTCAGAATTTAGAATATGTATCCTATTTAGAATGTGTATCCTATTTAGAATGTGTATCCTATTTAGAATGTGTATCCTATTTAGAATATGTATCCTATTTAGAATGTGTATCCTATTTAGAATGTGTATCCTATTTAGAATGTGTATCCTATTTAGAATGTGTATCCTATTTAGGTTCGTTTTTGAAGCAGCTTTTAATGTGAATGTGACTGACGAAACATCTACCTGCATTTGTATGAACTTTCTGAATGTTGTTATCTGTGAATACAAACACATCTTATGAGTATTGTCTTCGGAAAAAAAAAAAAAAGTAATCAGACGTTTCAATATCTATCAAGAAATATGATCAACATTACGATCGTACCTGGGAGGTATCTAATGTTTCACACGTCATATAAAAATGAGGTTGGGCGCAATAGCCAGACAGTACAGACGGTGTACACAATGCAAATCTGTATTTCACTGCATCTGGTGTGAGACCAAGGGCATGATGAACAACATGCCTCTCTGACGTTATGGGACACGAAACTTATCTGTCAATTTTAGATGTAATGCACAACTGAAAAAGTTGACACACAATTTAGGATATACAATTGAGCACATTCATACAACTATGATTGTTGTGTGTGTGTGTGTGTGTGTGTGTGTGTGTGTGCCCGCGCCCGCCCGTGTGTGTATGTGTGCTCGCGCGCCCGTGTGTGTATGTACACGAATGCTCCACATACGCACTTTCAACTTTATCTTCAGGGGGAGATTACATATATAGATTATTGTAACTATATATAGTATATAGTAACTGTGATCTCTGCCTGACATAAACATAGCGCGTAATATACGTAGAATATTGATCCTCAGTAACCTATGCTTGTCGCAAGAGGCCACTAATGGGATCGGGTGGTCATGCTCGCTGAATTGGTTGACACATGTCATCGGTTCCCAATTGCGCAGATCGATGCTCATGCTGTTTATCACTGGATTGTCTTGTCCAGACTCGATTATTTACAGACCGCCGACATATAGCTGGAATATTGCTGACTGCGGCGTGAAACTAAACTCACTCACTCACTCTTATATATGATATATATATATAAAGCATATATTGACAGTATAATACTATGTACATTATACATGTATATTCAAATACATGTTTAAATGAGATCCTTGCCAAATATCAGATAATTCCATTGATGGCATATTCAGTTCTTTCTTCTAAACATGGGAAAAAGGATTCGTATTCTACCAAGACAATGTTTTAGTTTGAACAAATATTTAGTTTTGACGGTTTTCAAGAAGGTCGATAAATCACTGTAAACCATATATTTTGACAATCATCTTGCATCCGTTTTTTTCTGTTTGAAAATGAAAATCGTACACATGCACATTTCACGTCATACACCAATCATCTAAAGTCATAAGGAAGTACAAGTGGTGATGAACTGTCAAAACATTCACTATCAACATTGATTGACTCTCGATGTATATATCCCATTTTCTTCGATCGTATATTAAAATAAAATTCACCTACTTTTCGTGAAGAGTATATGTTATATTTCTTTACACCATCGCCCAGTGTGGTATAAAAAAGTCTGTCCAAGATAAATGTGCAACGTCCAACATACATAAACTTGGCATATACACCAACTTCAACGTCCAGTAACGCTAAATCCCTGAAATTTTGCTAATGTTGGTTAAATTATTATCTTATCAATGTCCATATTGAAGACTCGATATTACCTTATTTATAGGCTTTGTTTGTTGTCTATATGAGGTTACCACAATCAGTTGCACGTTGCTGTATGACCTGATGCTCTAACACGTTAAAGGAGCTTCCCTTATCATCCATCTTCTGCTCAACTCACTCAAGAAGGGAATTGTTGTTTGGGAATTATGGAGAGGTAAAGGAATGCGTACACCTTCACAGAGACACAATAAAAGAAGAAAGTAAAAAAACCCTTGTTCACTTTTTCCAAGTTACAGCATTATTACAAATATCATGAATGCAAAATAATAGACACGGGTACATACTGATAGAGATATGTAGAAATATTCATGTGCGGTGGTCTGTGAATAATCAAGTCTGGACCAGACAATCCAGTGATCAACAGCATTAGTATCGATCTGCGTAATAGGGATACGATGACATGTGTCAATCAAGTTAGCAAGCCTGACCACCCGATCCCGTTAGTCGCCTTTTATGACAAGCATGGGTTACTGAAGACAAATTCTAACCCGGATCTCCACGGATAAGTAGACGGTCTTTATGGATAACAACCATTTTATTTGATGGGTGCGACGTACACGTTCAAAGAGATACAAAAAAAAGAAAACAGTAGAGTTCAAATAACAAATTTTATTCCTTTCAAGGAGCAGCAACATCACACATATTATACTACACACGGGTACATATTGAAGAGGCATGTACAAATATACCATGTTAATTCATAGGACCAAAAGCCGGATTTTCAACCTTTGAAACAAAAGGCAATACGTTGGTAAATGCATGCGATGATTTCCGCATTTGGTAATATGACATCAGTGATATGAACTAATTAGCCTTATTTCAATATGAAGGAACACCTTTAATATATATATTTACAAGTATTCATGCATATATTCTTGTTCATTATACACCACGGCATGAGCCTGCTGTGAAAACTAAGGGTGGCGAGTCCTCCTGCTCCGAGGGTACAGGTCACAGGTGAGGATTTACCATCCACGTTGAACCAGAAGGAGACAGTTTCGTGGGCAGCTCCAGTGAGGCTGATGGTAATGTCATCGGCAATGTTGATGTCCGTCACTCTCTGGGGTGACATGGGCACCCACTTGTCTAACTCCACCCTGCATGAGAACCTGTTTGCTGAAAGACACATGGCTGTTTACTTACTCCGGTCAAAATCCTTGACCGATGACCATATTCAGTATCATCTGAATGATGTAGCGTTGCCCAGCACGCTGTGCAATGGCTAATATAATTTGTTCACTGGTCTCGAGGGGACTTACTTTCATTGTCAGGTATTGATGCATGTTCCTGTAGTTTCACCAACTGGTAAGCTGTAGCGTAAACAAGGTTGCACAACAAAGAGAAAATGACCAGTAGTTGTTTATGCGAGCGTAGCGAGCTCTCGCATATACGAAGACTGGTCATTTTCTCTTGTTGCGCAACCCTGTTTGCGCTATGCTCGCATATACGAAGACTGGTAATTTTCTTTGTTGCCCAACCCTGTTTGAACTATAGTTTGCCTGTGTTTCACCCTCAACAGAAAAAATATCGTACTTTTGAAACAAAGGAATACACCTACCAATATACGGTCAGTACAGGTGATACATAGAAGAGACAGAAGTCAGCCTTGGTACAGCCACTCATTGTTAAAGGCCTGGGGTCTGTCAAGGGCTGTATCTTGTTAGGGTTATTGGCCGGGAAAACCATGGAGCTAGGAAACTGGAAATGCCAACGTAATTTGAGGTACAAACGTATTAGTTCCAGCTATATTTACGAAAAACTGGAATAGTAATCCAGCCACGGTGTCATGTTGTAGCTTCCCTTTAGATCAGCAGCGAGGATGATACCGTACTTTGTTGTCTCCGCCAAAATCTGAATACGTGGACCACACCTCCCAATCAGGACCCTCAAAGTCTGACCAAGCCATCTGGAAAACAAGTTGGTGATGCAGGTGAATGGTGCGAAAATGTTCACATTTTTTTGCCAGCTTCAACTCAGAAAAATAGTAAAAACTCCACCCCAGTCCTCTTGTATTCAGTGCTCAGATTAATTTGTACGCTGTGCAGGTGCAAATTAATGATCTGTTGTCAGTTTGCTTTGAAGCACTCACCCAATAATTTCCTATTCTCTCACTGAATTTCACATCCAATATTAAATCTTCGGTCCCAGTAGAACTACAAAACGTCGAACTGAATGTGCCTAAAGTAAAACAAACAACAAGGTCAGTGTCCCAGTAGAACTACAAAGAAAACGTCGAACTGAATGTGCCTGGTAAAGAAAACAACAAGGTCCAGTGTCCCAGGTAGAACCACAAAACGTCGGAACTGAATGTGCCTGGTAAAAGTAAACAAAGGTCAGTGTCCCAGTAAGAACTACAAAACGTCGAATACTGAATGTGCCTGGTAAACAAACAACAAGGTAGGTGTCCCGAGTAGAACTACAAAACGTCGAACTGAATGTGCCTGGTCAGGTAAACAAAGGTCAGTGTCCCAGTAAGAACTACAAAACGTCAAACTGAATGTGCCTGGTAAGTAGAAGCAACAAGGTCAGTGTCCCAGGTAAGAACTACAAAACGTCGAACTGAATGTGCGCTGGTAGGGAAACAAAACAACAAGGTCAGTGTCCCAAGTAGAACTACAAAGCGTCCGAACTGAATGTGCCTGGTAAGTAAAGCGAAAGTCATTGTCCCAGTAGAGACTACAAAACGTCGAACTGAATGTGCCTGGTAAGTAAGCGAAAGTCATTGTCCCAGTAGAACCACCATTCGATGAAAACTCGAACTGAATGCGTGCCTGGTAAACAAACAACAAAGGTCAGTGTCCCGAGTAGAGACTACAAAACGTCGAACTGAATGTGCCTGGTAAGTAAACGAAAGTCAGTAGAACTGTCCCCAGTAGAACTACAAAACGTCGAACTGAATGTGCCTGGTAACAAACAACAAGGTCAGTGTCCCAGTAGAACTACAAAAACATCGAACTGAATGTGCCTGGTAAGTAAACGAAAGTCATTGTCCCAGTAGAACTACAAAACGGTGAACTGAATGTGCCTGGTAAACAAACAACAAGGTCAGTGTCCTAGTAGAACTACAAAACGTCGAACTGAATGTGCCTGGTAAACAAATAACAAGGTCAGTGTCCTAGTAGAACTACAAAACGTCGAACTGAATGTGCCTGGTAAGTAAACGAAAGTCATTGTCCTTGTAGAACCACGATGCGTCCGAACTGAATGTGCCTGGTAAACAAAACAACAAGGTCATTGTGCAGTAGTAGAACCATGAAGC